TATAGCTGTCATCATCTCCAAACACTGCAACAGTGTCTGGTAGGCCTTGTAGCCCAAGGCATCTGAATGGCAATAGGTTATCTGGTGACTATGAATCCAGGTTTTTCATCAGTGGGGATACAAAACACTTTACTCTCTTGCTGGATATCTGGAATCATTTATAATTAGAGTATTTTATATGTACTAATGAAGTCTGCTCCTTTCTTTCCAAGATCTTTTGATTCTTCTTCTATTCTGGGGTATAGTTTCCTTTTCAATCCTCTTTAATTCCTCTGGTTTCCCTTGAATTTAAATATATTTTATTTATAAATAGGTGCAGAAGTAGAAGTCAGGCAGGTGAAATGTAAAATTTGTTACTACCAGTTCTGTGGGCGTGGCTTGATGGTGGTGGGGTAATGTGACTGGGTTGGCATGGCCAACTTTTTTTTTTAAACTTTTCAAAGCATTTTTTCTAATGCTTTGAAAAGCCTCTGCTGATCAGGCAACTCAACTGGGATCATCAGAGAGGCTTTTTAAAAAATGCTTTGAAAAGCCTCTCTGATGATCAGGCAACTCAACTGGGATCATCAGAGACTTTTCAAAGCATTTTTTTTTTACCACCTCTTCGGCCAAGTGGTTGCAGAAAAAAATGCTTTGAAAAGCCTCTGACGATCCCAACTGAGCTGCGTGATCATCAGAGGCTTTTTTTTTTTACTTTTAAAAGCATTTTTTCATTGGAAGAGGTTGTAGAAAAAATGCTTTTAAAAGTAAAAAAAAAAAGCCTCTGATGATGGTGCGGCTCAGCTGGGCATGGTGGGGGGGGGGGGCGCAGGGATTTTTGCTACCGGTTCTCCAAACTACCCGCCACCATCGCTACTGGATCCAGTCCAAACCGGGAGCATTTCACCCCTGAAGTCAGGATTTGTAAAGAAACTGGAAAGGGTGAAAATCCCATATGAGAGATATATACACATAAATATGCACATGCACATGCATATGCAGACACACAAAGATAAGTTTTTTTTTTTTTTAATTTGATTTATATGCCGTCCTTCTCCGGAGACTCAGGGCGGCTTACAATGCGCTAAGGAATAGCCTTCATTCTTTTGTATGTTTATACAAAGTCAGCTTATTGCCCCCACAACTGGCTCCTCAATATACCCACCTTAGAAAGGATGGAAGGCTAAGTCAACCTTGAGCATTGGCGAGATTCGAACCTGCAGTAATTGCAGGTAGCTGTTCTTAATAACAGGGTGCTTTAGACCACTGTACTACCAAGGCTCTTGGTAAGTACCTGACCACCAGAAATAATTCAAGGCAGAAGAAAAGTGTGTGCACTCTAAGACAAAACATGTACTAAAATTGTAATGTGCAACAAAACTCAGTCCAGTGCATAATATTTGTACTAAGAATCATATGTAACAAAATCTCACATGTTTTAAAACATACTTATTCAAAATGTGAAAAGGATGTTAACTGCTACTTTTCTCTATTGCAAAAAGTACACAGGAAATGTGGATAGGGATCAGTTGTGATACACAGCATGAACTTGGAAAGAGCTGAAGTTCACTGGAGTTCCTTCATTTGTCACACCAATACAGCCTATCCCAATCAGTGTCCTTCCAAATGTGTCATATTAGAAGTCTCACTGATGGATGATGATGTGCCATCAAAAGGTATATCCCATCAGTTCTGTAATTGAGTTCCTCCATCATGCTGCAGAAGTTCCATAATCTTTGCCAAATATAGCTAAACCTTGTGGACTGGGAACTTTGGGAAATGAACACATTTGATCAGTTTGGCAAAGTCTAAATTATGTTGAAAAATGTTTACTTTAGGTCACACTGACAGTGACAGTGCTAGTTCAAATAGAAAAATTGTTTCAGTTTCATTCATACCGAGAAGTTCAGAAAATAAATTAAGAAACTCTGTACAATCTAGAGTTTAGTAACTGTGATTCATTAATTGTTTAGAATTTGAAACTTTCTATTGAAGATACAACTTCTGATTCAAATCTCATGTTATTTTAGCATTTGGAGTCACAGGTGGTTGGTCTAAAAAATCAAAATGAAGAATTTGCTAAGAACTAAATGCCTTAGGAATTTTTATCATGCTTATTTTATTTATTAATTGATAAAATGTATATGATGCCCCATCTCGCTTACAATATTCTTTTACCCTTTGCTCAAAGAATTTTTCAGAACTTTGCAGTGTTGATACTAGACATTTGTGGGCTGCACTGTGTAGAAATAAAATTAATTTTATTTCTAGGAGTTGGCCATTTTACTGTTTAAGGGCAATTTCCCACTGTGTACATTATAATGGAGTCCACCTTCTGCAAGTTCTGTACATAGACAATTAACAGCCTTCATTCTTTGCTGTATGGATAATCTACTATGTGATGTCAAGACTGCAGCAAATTGCCTGAATATAACCTAGTTAGATTAGTATATATTTTGCATTCTTGCCATATAAAGCAATATGACTGTAAAAATTTTTATCAGCTTTCTAACAATGTATTCCAAAACTGGAATTGTTCAGTTCTTCCAATGGCAACTTAGAGAAAGATTGCTGGCTTATATATTTTTTTAAATCAAGAAGATAAAGGAATAAAAATAATCATGTCTTCAGAGAATAAAAATCTCCGTGTTGCCATTTGGCAAAATCTCTTTCCATAGTGATACCCTCATGGGTGCTGTTTTATTTCTGTTTACTAAGAACTGGCGAACTGTGGAGTGAAGAGAGTTTCCTACTTTTTGGTTTCCTACAGACAAAGTGAAACTCATTTTCTCACAGGTCAAGGATAGGGGAGAAGAGATTCATTCCCTTATTTACAAGATGAAACCTCTTAGTTTGGTTTGGAAATTTCATGTGAGACTGTTCTAGTTGTCTTTGAAGGGAATCACGGGGATCTAGTAGAGAGGTCCAAAATCTGCCAGGCTTCAATAATGTGGTTTCTAAAACCTGGATAATGTCATGAAAGTGAACAACAGCATTTGCCTGAGACAGAAATATCAATACTGAGATACAAGAGAGAATGAAAGAGAAAGTGACGTGATTCATTCTAGTTTAGAGGTGAGCATTTTATGTTGTTCTTCTCCTAGGAGCCAGAGATAGTATAGTTGATGACATCATGATATCACAGTGTTGTGCAGAGGCAACATGTTGGGGCCATTTTTGGTGGGTATTTTTAACAGATTAACAGAGTTGGAAGGGACCTTATAGGTCATCTAGTCCAACCCCCCACCTAAGCAGGAAACCCTACACCATTTCTGACAAATGGCAGTCCAATCTTTTCTTGAAAGTCTCAAGTGACGAAGCTCCCATCACTTCCGAAGGCAAGCTGTTCCACTGCTTGATTATTCTCACTGTCAGAAAGTTCCTCCTCATTTCTAGGTTGAATCTCTCCTTGGCCAGTTTCCATCCATTATTCCTTGTCTGGCCTTCAGGTGCTTTGAAAAACAGCTTGACACCTTCCTCTCTGTGGCAGCCCCTCAAGTATTGGAAGACGGCTATCATGTCTCCCCTTCCCTAGCCATACCCAGTTCATGTAACTGTTCTTCATATGTTTTAGTCTCCAGTCCCCTAATCATCCTGGTTGCTCTCCTCTGCACTTTTTCTAGAGTCTCAACATATTTTTTATAGTGTGGTGACCAAAACTGGATCCAGTACTCTAGTTGTGGTCTTACTAGGGCTTTATAGAGTGGTATTACTACCTCACTTGATCCTGATTGTTTCCCTCTGTTAATGCAATTTAGGATTGCATTGGCTTTTTTAGCTGCCGCTGCACACTGCTGCTTCATATTTAGCTGATTGTCCACTAAGACTTCAAGATTAAAGAGGAGGTGGGGGTAAAGGGTCAAAAGCCTTGGATGAAATTTAGCGTGAATGGTGCCAATTTTAAGGGTGAAATGACAAAGTTCCAAGCCGCCTTAGAGAAAGTGGGTAAGTAGAGTACCAAGCTTGGGAGATCCTCTCATGAGTTACTTCAAGTAGCAGGAGTGGGTCAATTATGAATGGCAATGTTTCCTAGTAGTATTAGCCTTCTCATACTTAGATAATTGGTGCCTGCTGAGAATTTTTTAAACTAAATTTCAGGGATTTCAATGAGAAATTTCCGCATACAAAATACTGTATATTTTCTTCCATTAGACTGTAGACTTCAGTAGATGTCTGCAAATCTATGGGTCAGTGGCTGGTATTTCTGAGATGTATATGCAAATAAGCATATGCAAATGATATGCAAATCTGTTTCCTCTTACTATCTTTTAGGAAGAATATTTCCTTTTGGGAAGAATAGTGTATAATTGAAATCTAGCCACAACAAAACTCAGATATTCTTTTCAAAAGCTACAAATGTGTGAGTCTGGAGGCTAAGTAAGTAGTCTGGAGGCTAAATCATATGATGGATGGCTAAGGGAACTCGGTATGTTTAGCCTAACAAAGAGAAGACTGTTGTTTCTAAATAAGTTTAAATTACAAGTGGCTAGTGTGCAACTTTTTTAGTAGTTATTAAGGTCCCCTTCTGTGCAATGTGTGTAACCCTCTTGTTCCAATGACATTGTTGTCCAGTTATGAAGCATTGGTCAAAAAGAAAAAAAAATGAATCAAGCCAAACTGAAACTAATAGGGAGACCGCACAGTCTGAGAAGAGCTCTTCCTTATTCGTACAGCATTGCTGTTTTGGCACCCCTAAAACCCAAGTCCTGCATTTTACGAAGTTAAAATTGCGAATGACCGTGTTCCAACCTCCAGAGCTTCAAGAGTCAGGTGTAAACTTCAGGTGGCCCTGACCATTGGAGTTGTTGGAGCTTAACTGCCAGGGCATTTGAATGGGATGCTACACAGAGAAACAGGTGCAAGTCTTCCACTCTCTATGTCTGAAGTGGGATCAACAGGGCTAGGTGGATGAGGAAGGCGGTTTTGACCTGAAGACAGCACAAGGCCTAACTTGAGGCCTGGCTGGCTTTCCTCCTTTGGAAATAAGCCTTTGGTTGCCATGGTGCTCCCTTTATTCTATAGGGGGGGAGGGGTTCTGGAAAGAGCAGGGCCTCAGACTGATACCAGATCCTACAGTAGTCAGGTCACCAGGTAAGGGTAGAAAATAAGCCAGGAACAGATGGCACATGTTGACAAGGAACACCACAAAGCAGAGGCTGTAAAAATAATGTGCCCTGCTAGAGAAAATAGCCAGGAGAATTTTAGAATAAAACGTCCGTTTTTCACATATATCTCTATATCTCTCTATCTCTCTATCTCTCTATCTCTATCTCTATCTCTATCTCTATCTCTATCTCTATCTCTATCTCTATCTCTATCTCTATATCTATATCTGTCTGTCTGTCTGTCTGTCTATCTATCTATCTATATATCTGTGTCACCGTTGCTGCATTTGCTAAGAGCAACAATTTGGGGAAACACTGGTTTTTGGATACTTGTTTGGTCCCTATTTTTACTGCAGGGGAATCTCAGAAAAGTTATCTTGATGTGGGTTGCTGCAATAATTCTTGAGGTTTCAACCCCTCTTGAGTTCATGAATTAAATCTACAGTTGGGAGAGGACCTTGTCCAGGGGTAGGCTTCAAAAAGGGTTCTCTGCCGGGTTGCTATGGTGGGTGTGGCCTAGTCAGCCTCCTGCACCATGGTGGCGGGGGGGGGGGGGCATTTTTGCCCTCCCCGGGCTCTAGAGGCTTTTATTGAGCCTCTGGGAGGGCAATAGCGGCCTCCCCAGGCTCTGAAGGCCCTCTGGAGGCTGGAAACAGGCCCGGTTCTGGCCTCCTCAAACTTCCGGTAGGCTCATTTTTTCCCTCCCTGAGCCTCCACGCACACCCTGCACTTATCTGCATCCAAAACGGGCCGCGTGGGGACTCCTGGGAAGGGTGGGTGGGCAGAGCCAGCCAAGTGTGGGATTTGGGGGTTCTCCAAACTGCACAGAATCTTAGTTAGATGTTCTCCCGAACTTCTGCGAACCCCCAGCAGCCCACCTCTGACCTTGTCTTAAGCCCTATGAATAATAAGTTTGAATGCATTGCATGTGTCCTGCCCTTTAATATATTTTGTTGCTGCAATTTGTTTTGAATTACTAATGCTCTCCAAAATGATTGTCTTTTATTTATCAGATAGATGACTAGTAAAAGAAAAGTAGCTTATTTTAATAAAGAAGGCAAGCTGGTATAGAAAAACTCACACATACACAGAGAAAGAGACCTAACTCCAGAATGACAATTTTAAATATGCTTTTGAAAAAAGGTGTTTAAAATAATGACTTAATTTTTTGAGGGCAGAGCAGAAGAAAAAATTTATTTCTAAGGAGTGTCTTAAAGAGTCTTTTAGCATCACCCAGCCATTGTTAAAGTGATATAAAAACTGTCTTATCATTGTTACAGTGGCACAAAAATGTGGGTAATTCAAGAAGACACTATTAACTGGGTTCCTGCTAGGGTGAATATAGTAGTAAAGTCACAACTATTTTATTCACTCTGAGGAGCAGAACAGATATGACTATTTCCTTAGATGACTAATTATTTTTAGTTGTTTTCTTGAAGAAAAAAATGAAGATAGATTTCAAAGTCCTATGATCTGGTTGTCTATACTATGGTCTAGCAAGTGGACTTAAGCCTGGTAAACTATAATATATTCTGGATCCTACCTATTACAATGGATATAACTGCTTTGACCAAAATAACTTTTAAGTTGATACAAATTTTCCACATTCCCATTCACTGCAGTAAATCCAAGAGCTGAGCTGACCAAGTTAACATTTAGAATGTCTGAAAACAGAAAGGAAACCTGTCTCAAACAATGTCAGAAGTGTGATGTTGACATGAATGGAGACATGTTAGATGCACAAGGTGTTTGTCTTCACTGCAAAACTGAGACAAAAGAGGAGCATCAAAAAAATCAGAAAAGCAGAAGGTAAGGTAGAGTAAAAGAATAGGCTTGGATTATTTTACAGAACTCATCACAAGAAGAAAGGTGATAACTAGTGATCAGTTAAAAAGCCTTTGAAATAAACAAACAATAAACAAAGAAATATATGGACAGATTGCCTTTCAATAGTTGTTGGCCACATTGGGACAAATATTAATATTCAAAGACATTATACTCTAAATCAGGTGTGGACAACCCACCAACTGCCTGCAGTCCCAAAGTCCTATTTTTGCTATTCCTGGAAGTCACTAAATAATTATCACTGATTTTGGGTGGAAATTGAATAAAATACCGTAGATATTTTTGTTATTTTTTTTCCTTCAACAAGGGAATTGGGAGAGGTCAAAATAGTATCATCAGCATATGAAGTTGTCGCTTAGTAATTTTAATTTCAGTTTCTATTTCTTTATATCCAGTATTTCTCATAATCCATTCTACATAACAGTTAATAAGTTGCCAGTATACTATACAGTCATGGCATGTTCCTTTCCCAATTTTGATCCATTAAATTGCTCCATATGCCTTTGTAGTTATTGCTTTCTGGTCATCATTCAGATTCTTTAATAAGCAGATGTGATGGTTTGATACAATAGTGTTTTAAGAACTATCCTGATACTCTGTCAAAGGGGCCAAAATTCCCATCCCCATTCCTACATTATGTTATTATTCCAATTCTTATTGCTCTTGGTAGATGGGTAAAAATATAGTCCCTGTCAACTAAAATTTGCTTTTGTCCTGTTATACAATATACTGTCTCTAAATACAAGCAGTTTTTGGAGGCATGGGTGTGTGTGGAGGAATAGTTATTTTCTATTTCTTGAAATCTGTTGGAATGACTAGTTGTTGACATACAATGCTTGTTTCAAAGCCTCTTCTTTTTGATCCAGGAGTGGTCTTATTTAAGGACATCAAAAGAATCTTGATAAATTAGGTTAAATGTTGACTTGTGAAGACAGGATTTGTGATAGAAAATTATCTACTGTTTCTTTGTTGATCATCATCTAGTGCAAATGATATGCTTTTTGCAAGCATTTGCATTAATATTGACAAAACATGAAGAAGGAGGAGGAAGAGGAGAAGGAGAAGGAGGAAGGAGAAGAAGAAGAAGAAGAAGAAGATTATTATTATTATTATTATTATTATTATTATTATTATTATTATTATTTTGGAGTAAACTCATTTCATATTGCAAACTGATTGATATAAGGTGGCTTGCCTGTAAGATTTTCAGACGATGATTTTCATTTTGTTAAGTTGTTAAATTGAGCCAAAAATAACTTTAAATAATATTAATCAGATCTTAATTATTTAGTTAATATTATTAACTATTTTCTTCAAATATCTTCTAAGAATCTTGCTTTGCCGAAGATTTGGGTTCAACAATTTATAGTCATTTTCTAGGACCTACCTTCTTTATACCAATTTTGTTTGTTATCATCTCAAGCCTCTAGGGAAAAAGTGTTTAACTACATGGCACTAGATATGTAAATTTTCTTCCTTCTCTGCTTCTGACACTACCAAGTCCTATGTATACCAATTCAGTATTTCTGCTTAAAAACAAAAATATTACCATTTCGTATGGGAATCTATTTTCAAAACAGTTCCACGCAGTTCAACCAATTTATTTATTCTGATTCAAGAGATGAAACATTGAGTCAACATTCCACATATGTTATAGTATTGGCTGTAAGGGGTTGGGGGGGGGAGGGGGGGAAGAAATGGTAATCCAAGTCTGCCCTCTGCTGGCGAAACACGCAATCTAAACCAAGATTTCAAAGTTGAGACCCACAGTTGTCCTCTTAAAGAGTTCATATTTAAGACGTAACAAAATTTCTATCCATCTGATAAAAATGCTGTTCCCAACAATATAGTCTACCAAAAGAAATGCATTAGTTTCTTGTTTTTCAAGTACCGGTAGTACATTGTCACACAAACTAGTATTATCACATATTTTAATATTTTTTAAAACTATTGATAAATATTTAACTCTTAATATAAATATCTAGATAAAGATACATTAACTTTTTAATACTACATTTTATAGTACCTTGAGAAGAAAGTTGGAAGAGGCTTATCAATTTCATGAACCTGTTTCTCTTCTCTGCAAAATCTGAATCAACTAAGAGTGCACATGAATATGAAGCTTGCAATTATTCTATTAATAGAATATAATATATATAATAATTATATATTAAATGCTTGCATCTAGTTCTGTTTGTCTTTTGGCTGTATTGTTTATCTATTATAGGGGGTTTTTTGGTGTATATATATATATGTAAAAAAGTTTATTTTTTAGTATAATAATTCCATCTTCCATTAAATAGTGTGTTATCTGGGTACAAATATATTTGTGAAGTCACAAAGTTTACAACAGTATTTGTTACATTAATACTAATTATCTGATTTTACAATACTAATATTGAACATAATATATTCACTTCTCCCTTTTAACATATCTTCTAATAAGAATATAATAGTAATATTAAACATAATAACCCTAATAGTAATAATAATAATAATAGCATTTACATTTACATTTACATCTTTCTCTTAAAACTATTCTATTATAGTTTCTAAGAGTACAAGGAAACTACGTTAATCTTACCTATTGTGCTTTTTAAAAAATTAAATGCAATTGTATGTAATAACTTTGAATCTATGGTTTTGCTATTATTTGTAGTTTTTATCCTACTCCATTTTGAGTTCGGTGAATCGTTTGCATTCCTTATTCGGAGCTCTGTAGGTTTCCTTTCAGTCTAAATGCAAATACTTTGCTTCTGCCTGTGGACTTACTATTTTTGTGAATTGTAGGTATGAATCATTTAATTTCCAGAATATTTCTTTGCATTCTGTCCTGTTCACTTTCTTTTGATGCGTAACTGGTGTTTCTAGGGCAAGACATTCTTTATTTCTTTTCCTGAACTATTTTATTGTCTTCTTTGATAAGAATGATCATCTGTATTGTACTGTCTCCCAAGGGAGAAAAAATTGTGAAAGCCTTTGAATTCTATAATGTGTGAGCACCCTATTTGAATTGTTTGAGGGGGGGGGGAAGAGAGAGAGAGAGATGCATATATATCCATTCCATCTTTATAAATAGTATAGCTGGGTAAAACCAGGATATTCGTATAAACTACTTTTCAAATTTTTACGGATGTATTTTTCTTCTGTGCATATATTAAAAATGAAGTTTGTTTGGTTTTGAATGGCTGTTTGAATTATTTATGTTCTGCTTTAGAAATAATAATTCTTCACTGTCTGCCTCCATGAATAGTTTCCCCAGAAACTCAAAACAATGCAGCTAGGGGAATTACATTTTATTGCAACTCCAGAAATGAAACTGACTTCTATTAGTTGTTTACCTCTGACTACTGACTAAACTATCATTTTACATTATAGTATAACACGTTGGGTTCAGTCTTGGTGACCTTCCTTCTCAGCTTTTCCAGAGATTAAATAGAAATTGTCCTAAGACAGTTGCAAAATGTTAATATTTCAGCTCTACATGACAAATTTTAATTTTGGAAATTTACTGACATGATAGGATGTTGTCACTCATAATGGTCTAACACAGTATCATCTTGGTAAACTGATAAAACAAATAATAACATAGGATAAGGAAAAAGATAGGAATGTAGGATTTAATGCTAACTAAAGCCAAATATTCTATCCTTTTTCCTCCCAGCGAGATCTTTTTTCCTAAGACTTAGTGTATATTCCATTTTTTTGTATCAGTCATATCTTGCGACCAGCTAGGTGATCTTTATGTGATTAATATAGTTTAATAAGAAGGTATCCTATGCCCATTAATACCTTATTATTGTACTACACATATCTGCTACCTAGGGATTCTGCCACATACAATGTTGGTGAGATGATGGAGACTGAGCCTGCCTATGCTGACTTCATCAGCTGTGATCGGACTGGTCGGAGAAATGCAGTTCATGACCTTCCAGGAGATGCAGCTGCCATTAAGTTGGAGAAACCAGCAAACACCATGGATATTTCTGTTGCAGATGAAGGTGAACTCTTCTTTGTTCATTCAAAGCTTTTCAAGGAACGAGTATCATTCAGGAAGCTCAGATGTAAATGTTATAATTCGTATTGTGCTTGTTTGAAAGTTTATGCAAACTGTATTATACAATGTCATATTTGCTGGCATGTCATTATCTTGACTATCAGGAGGTTTCTAAGCCAATCATTCAAATTCCTAGGAGCACCTTTATATAAAGGGCCTATTATATCTTTTGGCACCTGTCAGTGGAAGATTCTGTTCCTATGTTGTTGTTTTTTGTCAGTATCCCTTCTTTGAAATTCTGATTAATATTATCCTTTTCTTCCTTGTGATCATAATCTACTGGTTTTTATTTTCTTATATTTTTTCTATACTCAATATGTAAATCTTTTAAAACTAAGCAATCTAATTCACATATCTTGTATTGGACTTCTTCCATTATCATATAATCTCACGTATAACTTGATCCATAATCTTGCACCAGGCAGGCAATTAAATATCCAATCTCCATACTTATGAGCATTTCTAAACAAGACTTCTCTCTTTTTTTTTTTGTAGATAAAAGTCCTATACTGAATTAGTCAGTTTGGAATAAAATATTTCTCCCAATGCAAATAATTGTAGGCAAATAACATTTATGTTCAATTCTTTTTACTGGATGCATTTATTGGATCAAAAAAAAAATTCCACTTTTTTTTTTTTGCAGAAAATCAAGCAAAGGAAGCTGCTTTTGAAAAAAACCCTGGGCTGATTCCTGAAAGGAAGAATGATAGTTCAACCTTCTGATTTAAGATGCAGAAGGTGGAAGACAGGATAATAACACTTGATAGTACTCTATATGCTAATAAATCAGACTGCAACAGGAAGATCTTTACTTAGAGATCTCTTTAGAAGCCATTTGGATGTCATAGTCACTTTGTGTAGCAAGTAACTGGTATCTCCAAAGTTATTTCTTTATATAATGCTACAAAATAAGATCTGTTCTGGTAACCTGAGCCAGTTAGAGAGCGTTAACCAGCTATTTTCTGTACAGTTAAACAACATTTCCATAATATGTGTTTCAGATTTTATTGTAAAAGGTGCATTTTGTTCACTTAGTAAATTTAAACTATTTATTTCTATCTCCTGTAAATTATTAGATGGTTTATTGTGTTCCTCACGATATATATATAAAATCCAACATCCAGTTGATCTTTTAAGCTGTGAACATGGGAATTATAGCATATAATATACCAGACATTTCACCAGTATGACTCTCATTAAATAATCGAGCTTGCTACTGGCAACAGTGCTCTTATATAGTTCTAGTTCATATTCTGTTTTAAACAAATACTATAGAAATGTCACCATTCCTGCTATAGGTGTCACCAAATGATTCAGTATTTCTGAACAGGTACACTTTAATAATTGGTTTGCTTAGCTTTTTTTAAAAAAAGGAAAAGGTGATACAGGCTAAGGCGTAATATTTGTTGTATACAATTCAGGTAACTGATACATTTTCATTATCTGTTAATAGCAATTTCTTTTTAGGTAAAAGTATATTTCTCTTGAGTCAAGGTTGACATCTGGTGACTACATAGATGCATGTGTGCTGCTTTCCTTATAATAATCCTTACTATAATAATCCATTGCCTTCTTCCAGCACTTCTTGTGAATATTATGCAATTCTATAAATTTGTTTTTGAGCAAATAAAATTGAGTATTATGCATTTTGCTGTTTCCTACATTTATCTCTGTAGGCTTGCAATGTGCTTTGCTGATTTTATAATCTGATATTAAAAATCAATAGAACAAATATTTTCAAAATATTCTGGGATGCTAAGGTTGCTATAGCAATATGCAGGAACAAATACAGAAAATATAGAAATGTAGAATATGTACTGTAGAAATACATAAACCAGAGTGTTAATCAGAGGTGAAATGTAAATTTGTTACTACCGGTTCTGTGGGGGGGCTTGGTGGGGGGGGGGTAATGTGACTGGGTGGGCGTGGCCAACAATTTTTTTTTAAATTTTTCAAAGCATTTTTTTTAATGCTTTGAAAAGCCTCTGCCGATCAGGCAACTCAGCTGGGATCGTCAGAGAGGTTTTTAAAAAAATACCTCTCTGACAATCCCACCTGAGTTGCCTGATTGGCTGAGAGGTATTTTTTAAAAAGAGGTATTTTTTAAAAAATACCTCTCTGCCGATCAGGCAACTCAGCTGGGATCGTCAGAGACTTTTCAAAGCATTTTTTTTACTACCTCTTCAGCCAAGAGGTTGCAGAAAAAAATACTTTGAAAGCCTCTGATGATCCCAGCTGAGCCGCGCGATCATCAGACGCTTTTTTTTTACTTTTAAAAGCATTTTTTCGTTGGAAGAGGTTGTAGAAAAAATGCTTTTAAAAGTAAAAAAAAAAAATGATGATCATGCGGCTCAGTTGGGCATGGGGTGTGTGTGTGCAGGGATTTTTGCTATCGTTTCTCCGAACCACCCGCCGCCATCGCTACCGGATCGGGTGATCCAGTCCGAACCAGGAGCATTTCACCCCCGGTGTTAATCCTGTCTATCCATGGAATATGCCAAAATTCTCAAATAAACATCAAAATGCAGTTCTGTATGAAGATTAGGAAACATACACTTAATTGCCAGTTTACTACAATATGAATCTAGCAGTATGAATATTGACAACTTAAACACAAAATTTATCTGAAACTGGTAGAGAAGGGTGCAAAAAGATTCAATCCTCAACATTTTTATTTGTGACTTCAATAAAAAGATGGGAACAAAAGTTTATCAAATTTACAGATACCGTATTTTTTGGAGTATAAGACACTCCGGACTATAAGACGCACCTACCTTTTTTGGTGAGGAAAATAAGAAAAAAAATCTGCCTCTACCTCCCAGCAATTTGCCTCCTTGCAGCAAACAGCAAACAGCCTGTTTCATTTTCAGCAGAGTCTGATTAGCACAAGAAAAAAAAACCTGCCTTTATCTCCCAGCAATTTGCCTCCTTGCAGCAAACAGCAAACAGCCTATTTCAGTTTCAGCTTCAGCACAGCCTGATTAGCACAAGCAGCTGATTGTCGGTTGGATCGGCATCCTAAGGATCAGCTGTTTCAGGCTGCAGGGATTGTCATAGGCTATTGCCGTCTCCGTTTTCAGCCTCCACGCGCCCCATTTTTCGCCTGTTCTGGGCAGCGGGGATCGGAATGGGCAATAGGCAATGGTAATCCCTGCAGCTGAAACAGCTGATCCTCGTGAAACCGATCCAACCGACAATCAGCTGCTTGTGCTGATCAGGCTGTGCTGAAGCTGAAACTGAAATGGGCTGTTTGCCGTTTGCTGCAAGAGGGCAAATTGCTGGGAGGCAGAGGCCAAAGGGTGGAGGCCGGTGGGTGGCAGGGGCTACATTCGGTGTATAAGACGCACCCAAATTTTCACCCTCTTTTTTTGGGGGGGGGAGTGTGTCTTATACTCCGAAAAATATGGTAATACAAATTTGGCAAGAAAGCTAATGTCCTAGAAGTCATTAGACTTAGAAATAAAATTCAAGGTCAACTTGTTAGGGTAGAGAAATGCACTGGAAATAGTATAATTTAGTGAGACAAAAGCAAAATTCTTATTTAGAGAACAGTGATCAAATGCAGAGATTTAGGAGAACAACACTTGTCTGGGTAATATTACATATGAAAACCTTAGATTACCATCGGAATACAAATGGTATGAGCCACTAGTCTGATGTAGCTGCAAAAAAAAAAAAATGCTATTCTTATATTAGGCTGTATCCACATAATCAAAATTTTTCATTGAGGAGAATACCACCTGATTCCAAATACATTTCTGTAAATTTAGACATTGTAGGAAGATGACCAAGTTTGACTGGTAGCAAAGAATCAGAGTCTGGTAGCTTAGTTACAATTTTTATTATGCACTTTATGCATCTAATAAAGTGAGCCATGCTAATAAATGCTTAAGTCTTGTTAGAAAAGATGCTATACTGTATCATTATGTCACTGAGAGCAATACTAAAATTTTAGGCCCCTTCTGGCTTAATTAAAGGTTTTTTGCTTTTTGTTTTAGTAAAACAATGAAAACAATTATTTTGTAGTGAAAGGTGAAACAAAACCCATGCCCTACTTTTCATTTAATGTTTTTCTAATTATTTCATTTGTAGAATCATAGCTGATTTTGGCTTGACTGTTTTTTTCTGATATGCCAGACAAAAATGAAACATACCTTTAAGTAAAAATGGACTTTATTTCATTAAATGAAGACTTAAGTTCTGCTCTTTCCTCAAAATGAATTCTGAAGATATATTGTGTTACACAGCAAGAACGTGGATCACAATATTAAAACCATATACAAGCAGGATAATTTTTTACTGGTACTACAAAAATATTAAAACAATTCTTTTATATAATCTTGAATATGGACGATATGCCTATTGACATTAAGAACATTTTATTGAACATTCATATAAACCAGTATTTACTGGCTTGCTGTTTTCTGAAATAAGTAGTATGCATAGCTAAGCCTACACTTCTGCACACATGACACTAATGTAAAAACTATTCTTCAGACAAACTTTTGATGTTTAGTCACCAACAACATGGTATCACAAACATGTACGAGTTCTTAGCATTGATTACAAACTTTAAAAAAATTATTACCAAATCAAATCAAACCAGAACCATTTCTGTAGACAAAATAAGTAATAACAGTGTCAGTTTGTGTTTAGAGACAAGCTCTAACAAATTACAAGAAATACTACATAACTAAAGATAGAGAGAAAATTATGAGAAATACAAGAAAGGCTTGGATTCTATGTTTTAACCCTCTGGTCAGTTTTACTGAGTTATATGAAAACATTTCAAATTAAATGTTTTAAATTCTGGCAGCAATGTCAGATTTCTACTTTCATTTCCCCCTCCAAAACTTGGCTTAATTTTTCAAGCAATCTCTGTTATTCACTTATTCAGCACTCTGTCATAATGTCCCAAGCACAAGTACTCAAGTCTAGAAATATCGAACCCTTCAAGTAAATGAAATAAACTTTGTTAATTGAGGAAAAAGAAAAGAAGAAAAATGAAGTAAATTATTCTTAAGTGGCTACAGATTTGTCTCTCTGAACTGAAATAAGCACCTGAACAGGTGCTAAATGTGCACCTGGCTCCTAAAATAGCAGTTGAGTGTTTAGCTGCCACCCTCCCTTCATTGTCAGAAATTACTGTGCTTTGATGCTGCAATGACTTCTCACTTCCAACTTCATGTTGTTGCTACTTACAAGGAATACAGAAACAAGTAACAGTATGATTTGAACATAAGACTTACTTGAGATCTAAGCCCTTAAGAACTTATATTTAGGGTTTTCTGCAACAAAAACTGTAAATCAATCTAAGAGGTGAATTTCATAATATACCAACTTAAACTTTGAATGTGCAAGATGTTCACACTATAATATAAAAACATGGATCTAAATTCCTGAGTATATTAATCGGGACTTCAAAGATAGCTAATGCAAAATAAAAAAGTTACAATTACTAAAGGCATCTAGCATATTATTTGGAAATGAGAATTCTTGGTTTTATATTGCTATGATTTAGATGTGCATTTGCTACTGCATTTTCTTGCTCTAAACAGAATAATTTCATTACACTACATATTTGGTTACAGCTTTCCTCATAGTCCAATTAAACTGAAATACTTACAGTTTAAACCATTTTGTTTATTAGTTTCCTTAGGGAACAAAATCCAGCAAAATAGCCAATTTGGTACTAGCCATTTAGTCTAAATTTGGGGGGTATTATTCCAGTTAAAACAAACTGAGCACCATTAGATAATGTTGCCTTTCTGTTAGTCTCAACAATAAAAAAATAAACAAAAGTGTCAGTATGCTATAGTTAAATCACATAATTCCCAGTTAAACTAAACAGTATAGTACAGATAAGAAACAAGGCAAATGGCTCAGTAAATAGGTGGGAATACAAACTTAAATCTGCATTTCTATACAATCCCTATATGAACAGAAATGCTATGCAATTCTATTTTTTAAAATACTGTTTTTCCCATGGCACATCTCCAGCATAAAACATTTTAGGCAAGACTGGTTTTTGAGAAGGCAAATGTTGAATCAGCATTACAAGAATTTCTCCCATACAACTTTAACTGGATCAAATACTCTGTTTTTATATTTTGATACCATTGAAACGAATGGAATAGAAAAAAACACGAACTATTTAGTGTAAGTAAAATAAAGTAGAGAAATAAGATCGGTCTATAATCAAGTTAAATGATAAGGTATGTTTGTTTTTTGAGATTTATGAGCACAATATGATTTTCTAAAAAAAATTCAATGGTAAAAATATTTATGATCTTTTTTCCTTTTGTTAATGTAGGAGTGCACAGAAGACATCACTTGTAGATAAATTAGTGAGGCAGATAATTTTAAAAAAACATTATTTAAAAAATGTCTGAGATAGGCTTTGTCTGCTGTTGCAAATAAACAGTTCATTTGATTTACTGGTAAGTTTTGAAATAATAAATGGCCTGCAGATTTGGTGTACCTGAGATGGAACTTAAATGAACGTAATTTCAATAAATGTATTCCTATTTCCAATCTCTAGATGTCTAAGCAGCTTACATTCCATCTTTAAAAAAATAAAATTAAACTCATGATACCTACCATCATAAGAATACTGTTTTGTACATGCCCTGTTCTGTGGTTATTAAGAGTAAACAAGAGTAATACGAAGTTTGCTCACTGTCTTCCAAGAAGCAAAACAAAGAATTTGGGCAAGCATAACATTGGTCAAGAAAAAAGCTGATGCCCGGTACAGAAGAGTTCAGAATTCTTGGCTTTTTACCATCCCATAGGCTTCACGTAGCTTGTACACAAGCTCCTTTTTATCTTCCTCTTTCAAGAAGCAGGACATTGCCGCATTTATATTCTGTGAAAGGAAGAAGAAGGCATGCCTAATCATATTCCACTAATGTGGGCTGTACTATTTTAATTAAATGGTTGACAATGCTACTATTAAATGCTGTACTTTTATCTTTGAAAATTAAAAGAATGTGTTTTACAAAAGTCTAAAACGGAGTTAACAAAGATAAGGATGCCACAGATGGCGTTTTAGGCAAGTACTTTTCCCATTTAAAGCTCACCCGAGGTTTTTACATTGGGGCAAAGCAAATTTAAGTAACCCAGTACAAACTTATAGACTGATAGCGTTCTTCAGAATCCAACATTCTGTTTGTTCTTCTGTTACGGCTACCAAAGATCATTTAAGCAATTAGGAGATTCACTGGCAGCAGCCCAAAACAATAGAAAGTTTGAAAGTCCTATTACTCAGCAAAATGCTCTAAGGCTGTGGTAATGCAAACTCAATAACAGTGAGGTCATGGGATATTAAACTACAAACTTTATTCCAATCATATTTTGGTTGAGCTGTGGGGGCGCGATGGTTAGAATGCAATATTGCAGACTAGTTCTGCTGACTGCAGGCAATCGATCCTGATCAGTTGATCCTGATCAACTCAATCTTCCATCCTTCCTAGGTTGATAAAGTTGTTGGGGCAATATGCTGGTTCTGTAAACTGCTTAGGGAGTAAAGCACTGTGAAGCAGTATATAAGTCTCAGTGCTATTGCTATTTTAGCCTATTATGTTGCACAACACCTATGCACATCCCGAACACCTATACATATCCTGAACAACACCTATGATCCTGAAGATGAAACTCAAATACTTTGGCCACCTAATGAGAAGGAAGGACTCACTGGAGAAGAGCCTAATGCTGGGAACAATTGAGGGCAAAAGAAGAAGGGGACGATAGAGAATGAGGGAGCTCAACCAATCTCATTGTACATATGTTGTGCACTGATAATAAAGATTTGAATTTGAATTTGAATTTGGCTGGATCGAGTCACTGAAGCAGTCGGTGTGAGCTTAAATGGACTATGGGGGATGGTAGAGGACGGGAAGCCCTGGAGGAACGTCCATTGGGTTGCAATGGGTTGGACACGACTTCGCAACTAACAACAACACAGTTCAGTGTGTTGTACCAAGCCAGAAACTTGGGTTAAGTGATTTAAAACCAAGTTAACATATGGTGTTAACAAGTTACATCTTTTAATTTTGAAAGCAATTAAATTGGGGTCAAACTTAGCCTTTCATCTATTGTAGAAAGCCATATAAATTACAAAGAGCCATGGAAAACAGTATATCAATAACTAATTTTTTTATTAACAATCCAATATACCAAAACAAAATGTCTGTGCATATGCAGAGATTTATCAGAAATAAGAAATAAGATTTCTTTCTTTCTTGAAATGTATGGATAAAGGGGGATGTTATAATATTAATAATATTTTTAGTAAGTAAAGGTCAGTATTTAGAGGAGGGAGTAAGTAATCTGTTATGAATTAGGTTTTTTGTTACGAAGAAGTCACAGGGGGGGGATGGGTAGGGAGGGGGGGTTAGGGAGGGGGAGGGGGAGGGGAAAAAAGGGGGGGAAATTTGTATTTGAAAACTTTTTCAATTAAAAAAAAAAAAGAAAAAAAGAAACATTCTCAAGTTAAGACCATGATCTTTCAGAAGGAATACACCCTTTTCATAAATAAGTAGAATCCGGTCTTCAAGCTGAACTTTCTGATGATCAGCGGAATGTCCCTAAGTCTGTCTTTTTTCCAGCCCACCCAATAAAACGAGCTTATTATCAAAAAAAAAAAAGAAATAAGATGTGATTGCTAGGATAGAACAGAAATCTGAGGATTATCAATGAAAATATTTTAAAGAAGAAAAAAAAATCCAACCCACACTTCAAGTAAAAAGACAGGGAAAATAACCACAATGAAATATAATATCATCTGAAATTAATAAGAAACAATAGTGTGCTAATGAGTCTACATAATTTTCTGAGCATTAATTTCTTAATTCCAATTTCTTAAATATTTCAGATTAGGAGTAAATATATCCTAGAGAATTGTGAGATTTTTTTTTAATTCACATTTTCAGCTGACAGTGTTTGTGAATACATGAAGGACCATATGGCATACAGAAATGGCTATTTACTAAGATATATCTTGCCACAGTGGGCATATGATTACATAAAAAGCCATTACCTGGAGGATGTATTTAAATGGTAATAAGAATATTAGCATTTCTCTACAAATGGAGTATGGTAAAATGTCCCTTCTGTTCTCCACAGTATGGTCTTGATGTGACCACGTTTGGTGCCTTTATTTCCATTTCTAAAAACCTTAAAAAGATTAACCATGTCTACACCTGCTATTTCAATTTATTAGGAAGATTTTACTTTAACAGAAACAGATCAAAACAAGCCGGACATTACAAGAAGGGCAAAGTATTGCCAATATGAAAAGCAGACCAACATACCAATTTCTTGAATTCCTCTTCTGTAAATTTCATGTGATCTCGAGCAATTCTGTAGTCTGTGTCAATTGTGGATCTGAAAATGAGTGGATCATCTGAATTCAAGGAATAATTTGCACCATCCTTCATAAATCTGGAAAGACAAAAATGGAAATGTTAAATGATCCATGGATAGAAATATAGTATAGTCAGCTTTCCTACTGCATTTGCTACATTTATCAAAATCTAAAATGGTGCTGTTAGCTTTTTAAAATATTTATAACACAGTTGCAAATTCAAAAGGTAATCAAAGGAAACATAAGTGATCTGAAGTATAATTCATTTGAAATAATTATAGTAATAGCAACAATACTTACCTTATTATGGGATGTTCTTCGAAGATGGGTTTACATGCTCCAGTGAGACAACTGGACCAAGGACAGAGCTTAGAATAGAATAAAACTTTATTATTTTTATTCTATACTTGAGAGAGAATGTTTTCTATAATTAGCTCATAATAGCTGAGAGTAATTCTATGTGTAGATTCAGACTAAATAATCCATTTTTGTTCATCCTGAAATATTGCTTATAAAATCATCTGAACCACTTCATGTAAAGTAAACATATGAACTGAAAAATGCACATGATGCATGTGTTATTATTAATCTGTACTGCTGCAGTAAATTTCTACACACTCTTCATGGAAAGATTATGGAATGAAGTACACCTATCTAATTAAGAATGAACTGTTATCAGTTGTAAAAACAATAATTAATTAATGCCAGTTAAAGGATAGTTAATTTGAGATCAGTCAAATACCGACCAAGAACCAAATCATGTTTGTCAAAAGAGTTCATTTACACCTTTTATTTGCAGTAAAATGCAACAATATGGATCTGACATGTATCTTATCATTCTAGTTATATATGATGGCTCTAACATATGGATTTGTCTCTTGGTATCAAACTGTAAACACTGATACACTTCAGTGCTATCCCCAAAAGCAAAACAATAAGACATGAAATGTTAGTATAGTTTTCTTTTATTAAGCAATCAGGTTTACACATAGGGCAGTATATTTATAATCTGCAGTGTGACAAATAAGGATCAGGCTTGTATTGTGTATATCTTGTATATACTGCAAGCATCCAAAAGTTTACATATTCCCTGTCAAGTTGTAGGTGTCAATGAACCTCTAAATGAACAGAAACTGACACACCCTTTACATAACATTGAATACAGAGGGACCTTGGTATTCAACTGCTTTGAAACTGATTGAATTTGGTACTCAACACAATTTTGTTCTGATAGTCCTCGTGTTTGGTACTGAATGCACAAGTTAGAACTTTTCAGTGTTAGCTGCCTTACGATTCACTGCATTATTCCTTATGGGAAAAATTTGTTTGGTACTCATTGCACCTCCCAGAATCAATTAAAAGTGAGTACCAAGGTACTACTGTAGAATTAAATGCAACATTATTTGTATTTAATAATTGCACTTTCTGTGCTATTGTTTTCCTGTAGCTAACTGCAGGCCTAACAAATCAATTGCCTTAAAAGGGGGCCTTAAAAATGTTAGTTAAAAAAAACCAATGTATCCACATGGAATAGTGTCCAAATTTGTCCACTTGCCATTTTCACTATTTACTTATTTAGCCTTATTTCTTGTTTGCCCACAAATAAAGAGTGGATTGCAAAACTAATGGAACTGGCAAAGTTGACAAAATTGATTACTTTAATGAAAGATAAAAGTTTATTTACTTGGTTTTACTTGAGACCACTTTTGAATTTTTTGCTTGAGAAAGATAAAAATTAAGTTTTAGTATTTGATAATTAGATTTGTTATGATTATAGAAATATTGGTATATTATATTTATTCAATATATAGATTGTATATTTTAAGGTTTATGGTTAAATTTAGAATAAATAGTTATTTTGTTCTTTAGTTTTGGGGGAATTTGGATTATTTAGTCTATACTGTTTATTTGATGTTTTTGTTATAATTTAGAGTAAGAGGTTACTATGCTTTATATTTGTACTGAAGAAGGTTGGAAATCCTTATGTTCTTTTTCTTTTGTCACTTTTTAATCCCCCCCTTTAATCCCCTCACCTTTCTTTTAATGTTTTCTTTTTTAATTTGTATTTTATCTTTTTTTGAAACTTAATAAAGTTGATTTTTTAAAAATTACAGGCTTAGAAGTGTTTGTTTTTATGAAGACTGATGATATGCATGCTGTACTGCAAAATAAATTTCATACTAATTCAGGGTAAAACCACAAGATTTTATTTCAAAAGTTCCTCATTCAAACTTCAGCATTTCTAAGAAAGGCAGAAAAAAGCAGAGAATAGCAGATTGATTAGTGTTCTGACTCAGTTTAAAACAATTATACTTTTCTTTGTCTTTAAAAGTTGTTAAGGCAGTACATACAGAGATTTTCAGAAGATATTCTATTACCTCAAAATGTATATTTTGTTTCAACAACTGTTTGTAAAGCTGTTCATCCTCAAAGACGTGGTAGCCATGGCCAATTCGTTCTGCCTTAAGAACGTTGACTGCCTATAGTGATATAAAGGGAAAAAATAGGAAGAAATGACTATTCGCAGATTAGGCTACTTACACAATTGACACATCAATCCCTAAACAACAAAGTTAGATAGTGTTTAATGAATATCTAGCACAAAATTATAAAGTACAGTGTAAATACACTTATAGCAATTCAAGAGTACAGTTTAGGAATACATGAGCATGACTTACATATTACTTCTTTCTAATATTATTCCCACATTCATTTTTTTTCTGACTACACCTGAATTTCTCTTATGTAGGAATTCACAAATGATAGAGTTTATACTCAAACCACTTTTGCATAAACTTAAGAGAAAGCACAGCAAAGCTTGAGTAGTTTAAAACTGACGGAAACCATTAACTGATTTCTATTAGAAACCATTAACTAAAAGAAAAGGTCCAACATTGTAAGTAATGGAGCTCTCCCATTTTTTTTTTTTTTTTTTTTGTTAAACAGTCCTCACAGGATTTTACAATTTTCTACATTAGTTCTACCTGGCAGCTTTCCAGATGACACCCAAATTCTATGGTACAATTTCCTACCTCTTTGATGACTTGGGATGTTCCAACCTCTCCGGCATGAACAGTCCGATGAATACCACATCTTTCAGCTTCCTGTGAGCAACAGGAAATAGAAACTGTAATTTGCAATTGTTAAAGACAACACATTTTTGAGGAAGGAATCTGCTATTTCATATTCTGTTGGTGGTGAACATGGAATTGCCAAACAAATAAATCCTACTTAGAACTGCTTTTGCTCTTAAAGAGGAAAAAATGATTATTAAAATGAATGCAAAGCTCAGAATTTTAATAGTTTTAGTTGAGTTTCACACAGAGAGACACATTTAAATGTACATATATAATAAGACTATACATATATATGGTATACCAAAAACCAGGCTCCATAGGCCGCTACATTATTTTTTATTATTTTTTTAAAGAAAAAATAGTTATTTCTCTTAGGAATGTTCAAAGGTCATGTATCAAACAAATCATAAAGTATTTAAATAACCCGGCAATGAATTCAAATATTTAATGTAATTTACATAATGAACTTTCTATGGGATCAGGTTTTTGATGCACCTTGTATGTGTGTGTTCATTTTAGCTCAGATCAGCAGACAAGCTCACACACAGTTTATGTGTGTATATTATAGTAACATTTTATGCATGAATTTTAAAGCCAATCATATTCTTATATATACCTATACTTAAGAACAAATACCAAGAATAAGATTACTAATAAAAGCCCATGCAAGTACATACTGTATATATTAAGAAAAATCATTTTTTTAAAATTACCAATTGCTTAATAAGATACATAAAGAAGTTATACTACTGTAATATTAATACATAGAAACCCAAGTAATTGTAGTTGAATTACTACTGCTATTTTCCAATCATCTGGCACAATATTTCTGAGCTTCTCTGTCACCAATAAGCTAGAAACATTATGACCGATGTTGGTTGCAGGAAAATATACAGAAGATGTATAAGCATTTTTTGTACTCTCTGATTGGTGCATTATTGCATCCTTCCAAGATACTGTTAAAAATATTCTAAGGCAAAATATATACCTCCCATTTTTTTCACAAATTGTAATGAACTTATTGAATGCTGGCACTTTATTGAGAACTATGGTTAATTCAAACTGAACAGTCTTAACAAAAAATGAAGGAAAGTATTTAATTCAATTAGATGTAAAAGCCAGACAAATATTGATTTAAATCAAAACTTGTTTCTATATCTATTTGTTTAGTCTTGAGTAAGGCTCACTAATGCAATTTAAAGTTCTTCATAAATACAGGCAATTTTGTATTAAGAGATATAAACTATTGGGATAGTCACTGATTTGCCTCTTTCCTGTTGTCCAAGCCAAAGAGTGGGAAGGGAAGATTAACAGATTAACAGAGTTGGAAGGTGTCAGAGTTTCTTGCAAAAATCAAATCCAGAAGCACACACAGATAACTGATTCAGCTGGATTCATTAACTTCTTTATATACACAATACATGAAGTAAGTTTACAATACCAACAGCAGATTCACAGTTTCATTTCAGCTCAGATCAGCAGACAAGATCACACACTGGTTTCAGTTTCTCTTTATAGACTCAGAAGCTGCAGACAAAGACATGCCCTGGCTCCAGTCTGTTTCAGCTCCCAATTGGCTGACTTAGTTGCTATGCATATTCATTGGCTGACTTGTTATCATGTCTTCCCAGTCATTAATATTCTTACAGAAGGGACCTTGTAGGTCATCTAGTCCAACCCCCCGCCCAAGCAGAAGAGAAAGTAAGCTGGACCTTTTCTCAGCTCAGCTAGAAAACCAGCAATTTGAACTGTTTTGAAAGCAACTGGGATCAATAAACCTGTAATTCTGATTCCATTACAGTTCTATTTCCCTTCTCAAAGCCCATTATGTTTCATTAATGTCATGTCTTTTTAGATTGTAAATACAAGGAAATGGATTCTAAGTGACCTTGAAGCCTTTCCTGATCAAAAACTAAAAGGATGAAATAGAAATGGTTCAAATAACGAACTGTTTGAAATCGTATGGATTTTACCACCGCTCAAGAGGGCTTGTGAGAACAGATTCTACTAAAGCTTTTCTGAATTGAAGCAGACAGCATCTCCCCAAAGTACTATCCCAGTTTCAGTGTGAAAAACAGTCATAAATCACTGCTTTCAGTCCCACTGTTAACTTTGAGTGGTCACTAAATGAACTGTTGTTAGTTGAGAACTATTTTCCTCACAACAACAACTCTGTAAAGTGAATTGGGCTGAGAGTGAGTGACTGGCTCAGAGGCACCCAGCTGGCTTTCCTGGCTAACGTGGGCCTTGAACTCACAGTCTCCTGCTTCTAAATTTGATAGTTCATGGCAGAAAATATCAGCACATTAGAAAGAAAAAGAAAGAAGATTGATATTTTTAGTACTTTTGGAAACTAATAAATAAAAAATAACATGTAATTCAACTTTTCTCTACAGGAAATAAACACAAGATATTGCATGCCATGAAGGCCACATTAAAACATTTTGTATCAAGGAAGTTTTTGGAAAGGATGGCTGTTTCACCCTGAATAATTATTACTTAGAAGAGACTGGCTAATGATAAATAGGTTACCCTCAAATGTGGGAAAGTAATTTTGAATAAAAAACCTCTACTCTTCCCAGTTCAAAAGATTAGGTTTGTCCCAGGTTCTTACTGATGATATATGTACTAAGGCTATGCAGACTTGGAAAAAGAAGAAAAATCCATTCATTAAAAATAATGTGACAAAAAACCAGTAGAGCTTTTTTTCAGGCTCTGCCGAAATCTGGAAAAGTCAGGCTGTTTCAAGGAACAAAAGGGAGTAAAGGCATGTGAGAGCCAAAGGATTTCTTCCAAATCATTTTTAAATAAACACAACCCCTAAAACATATCAGTAAGATGCATAAATAGAAGGGAAATCTACAGCAGAGGAGCGACCATATAAATCTTTTCCTCAGAGTTTTAACCAGAGATTTTTCAATTGGAGGCTGAAACATTACTTGTAATTCAGATCTGGATATTTGTATTCTAGTATTACACATGGGAAGTAGAAATTTTGATCTGAACAATGATTTGGAAAATTAAATGTTGCTGAAAATAAGAGCATGATTGGTCCTGAACTACTCCCTTACTGGGAATCTTAGGCAGACTATAAAACTGAACATACTTCATAAGCTTTTCGGTGGTCTGAACAGGCTGCAATAACCGATTCATCTCCAGCTAAATCTATAGCAACCACTGTATCGTTCTTATACCTCTTACACAGTTCCACTATTTCTGGCGACCAGCCTGGAAAGAAAAACATAAATAAGAATCATTTTTTAATTTTTGGCAGAATCCAAGGTCTTGCTTAACTAAGACTTGTAATCATTAATCAAAAATGGTTATACATAAATGACACTTCTTTTTATTGACTTTTCCTTTGACAACTTCTGTGGAGATCAAGCAGATGTTGTAAATAACAGAATAGCCACAAAGAATTACAATGTTTAAGATATATTGGTTTATTTCTGGTTAGTTTTTATCATTTCAATATGATTATTGAAAGTTCTAGAAGGGTTTGAGGACTGTCCATAAACTATGCTACAATCTAAAAATATTACATTTTACTGCTTCCTAGAATTTCTAATTAGATAATTGTTCAAGGAAAGTGCACAATCAAACCAAGGACCTGGAGATTCATAATTATGGTACACTTTTTTTGCATGCTGTGCAGTTTGGTACATACAAGATAGAGTCAACTATAGTTTATATATCCAAACTTATGCACTGTTGTCAAAACTTAACTTTTTCTCCACTGAAAGGTTACTAATGTATGAAGAAGTTTTATATAAAAATTTAAAGTAACAAATATATCTTTTCTCACTTTGTTTAATCGTCAATTAAAAATTATTTCACCAATACTCTAAAAAAGAAGGTAACAAAATAATAAAGCAGTTGTTCCGGTTGGCACCGCCTGGCGTCGCGGACGGTCTTTCTGGACCGCCAGCCACGCGATTCCGTTCAAGCTGTTCTGACAGCGCTAATCAGCTGTCAGACGGCTTAAAAACCTCTCCTTCGGGAGAAGAAGGAGAGGAGAGCCGGTGGGCGAGGGTAGAGCTCCCTGGGAGCCCCTGAAGCAATTGCAGGGGCTTGGAGGGTGAGAGCTCCCCGTTCAGCCCACTGAAGCTCCGGATCCGTGGCGACTCCGTTTAAACAGAGCCAGACGCTGGCGACCGACTCTGCTGCCAAGAAGATCAACTGATTTCAAAAAGCAGACAGAACGGAAGCAGGAGAACAAGCTTTTGCAAGTATATGCTTAACTCCTGGGATACATTGTTTCTATTTGATTTTGCTGAGCTGGAGCTGGAAATGGCGTCTTTGTTGTGGGAGTGAAAGTGAAAGTAGGAAATGAAAGTGCTTGTTAATAGACTTGTGCTCAGAGACTGGATTTAAACTGCTGGATTTGAGAGCTGGGTCCAGAAAAGACTATCTTGCTTGATAAACTACAAATAAATCTGAGAAAGCTGTTTGAGAGACTTTATGGCTCTGAAAAGAAAAATTCTTTTAAAATAATATGGCTTCCAAGGAAGGAGTTTCTGAAAGTGGAGGCTCTTTAATGGCGTCAGAAATGACACAGAGAACTGAAACACAGAGCCAGGAGGCTTTTTTTAGAGACCTTGCAGAATTTATAAAGGAAGCCATGAATAACCAAATTGAAATTATTAATAACTTTACAGTAATCATGGAACAAAAATTTACAGAACTGGTGGAGGATAAAAAAGCAGCTGAGGATGTTTTTGAAGGAAAGCATAATGACAATGTAGGAGACATTTTGATCAAGACAGAGAAGCTGGAACTGGCTGACCCTCAAGAATCTTCAAACCTTCTTCCTGCCCTTTTGGAATTAACTGACAGAACTTTTCAAAAATATAATTTGGAGCAGAAAGAAGAAGAAACTGATCAGCTTTATGAGGTTTTGGAGGATTTGGCAGAGGCTTTCACACAATTAATTGAAATGCAGCAACTGGATTTTTCTTTGCAAACTGATTGAGTTAATTCTTTGTTCTATGAACTGACTGTCTATAGAAGCAAGAAGAGTCGATATGGGAGCTCTAAACCAGAGGAAATGATTTTGAGAAAGGGACAAGTCTTAAAGATACATCAACCCCCAGTTAAAATTCAAAACCTCCTCAAAATAAAAGAAGGAGGGAGGAAGAAAGATTGGAAAAAATACAGAAAAAAAGGAAGAATGGAAGATTAATTTTTTCTGGTCTAATTATTGATGTATTAATGATTAACTACAATGATTAACTAAATGAATTGAGAGTTCAATTAATGATTAATTAAGGTTTAGTTATTGTTAAAAATATTTGAATATTGAGAACAAAAGCAGGAGGAATAGCCAAATGATTAAGTATGTATTATCTACTAGTGTTTGTTATTGTTTTTTTAAAAAAAAAAATTCTTAGGGCTAAAGGATTATATGTTATTTTGTGTTTAAAGGGAGGTTGATGAATAATCTGTAGATGGGGAGTTCAGGGGTCTAGGGAGTTCTAATGTCTTGCATTAATTTAGCATATTTTAGCGTATGTTTGGTAAAACCTATACCGTTTTTCTTCTGGGAAGTTGGGGGAGGGGGGAGGGAAGGGGGGGTTGCACAAATGTTTAATTAGATAAGTGATTTGTTTGATTTGTTTGAATTTTAAAAACAATAAAAAAATTGTTTAAAAAAAAAATAACAAAGCAGTTCATATAATAGTTAATTATAAAAGAAAAAATATACAGTATTACAAAGAGTAATGCGGCCAATATAAATTGACCACAATATAAATGATTGACTATAGACTACAAACCATTTATAAATGATCATGAGATTAATTGATAGTGGCTCATTGTACAAATGCAAGACTTTATTCAAAGGAACACATTACTATTAAATAAATAATTATATGAGCTAGAGAAAATGTTAACTCAAGAAAACATTTCTGGGAATTTTACGACATACTGTTACATAAAAGTGCAACTATTCCTGCCTAATTGCAGTTCTGAAAAACTGGGGCATACGTAGGGTTATAGAAACAATCAAATAAGAAAATAATTTGTAGATTCCCTTAACTCTGAGAAATAAGATTTAGTTCATTAAAATTCTTCACTCCAATCACTGAAACTTCCATCTTTACAAGCAAGAAAGATAGGAATTTCTTTTTTCAACTAAAAAGGTTGTATTAATCCTGTCCTGGCATTTCTCATTACATTCTATGTGATATTTATATATGCATAGAAACATAGCACATAATGTATCTAGATATAAAACTGTTTCCAAAACTTTCACATTGACAACCTAATTCTGAAAGATTGGCGTACCAGCATCCAGCAGGATTATCATTGCAATCATTGGATATATTAAATTGAGTTATACGGGCACAACTAATTTATCAATTAGAACTTTTAAGGGGCAACGTCAAGTTCCTTAAAAAAATAACCCATTGCTACATAGAAGCACTAAGTAAACTGGCTAAATTCTAACGCATGCCTTTCGTTTCAACAAATGTGTTTTAGGATAGAGATGTGGGGGTGGGGGGTGGAGGCAAGGTCATGGGAAGTGCTATGGAGGAAGAGAAAGGAAATCACTGGGAAGATCAGGGGACAGACAATTGACCAGTTGGATATATTACAGCAGCCACATGGCATTGGCCATTACCTTTCTTTCAGCACCATCCCCTAGCCACTGTGTCTAAGATCTAAACTGGGTAGATGGATAGGTTGGCTAGTTGGCTACACTGTGCCTGGATTAAGGGTGGAGATGATGAGTAAGTTATTTATCAATGGCTAAATTTGTCTAGCGTAGCACTTTGGGAAAAAGTGATGTAAAGATCAGTGGGTGTGTCAGCACACAGGCATGTGGAGGTGAGAGGAGAGAAGCACAAATTCATCCCACAAGATCCCAGCTGAAACTTGGAGCAACTAAGGTACTTATTTCAGTTCAGAGCCATTTGTTTTATTCACAAAACTCTTTTACATCATGCATATCTTTTAATCTGGAAACACCCACGAGCAGGTTCCAAATTTATTTATTTATTAAATTTAAATGCCGCCCCTCTCATTAGCAAGCGACTGTAAGGAGTCCATAAAAAGTCCTGAAGCTTAAACGGTTTGAGAGTTTGAAACCACATGTTGCACTTATCTCTTCTGAATGAGCAGAACTCACAGACAACTAGAACTACAGAATAACTACAGCCCTAAACATTAATCACAACTTTTATGCTGATACATTAGCTATCGTTTCCAATTTTTCAGTATGAAATCTTGCTTTTATCTCAACTAGGGATAAATAATATTTGTTGCTAAATTACAGAAGGATTTAAATTTGAAAAGTCAATGTGAGGAGGGAGGAAGATAGAAAAAAAAAACAGAGAGCAGTACTATTGGTAAACTCTTATACATTACATGGCTGGTTGCGCATGCAGCAGAGAATAGACTTGACTTTGATGTTGAAATCCTTTTCTCCCTCTTTTAATCCTTGATTAACAGATTTAACTACGTCATCTGGAGTAACATCTCCCCTGTGTAAAACAAATAATCAGTGTATTATATATATTAGATAATTGTTATGAAATTGTTTATTAACATTAATACATAATAGATACCATGTTTCCCCAAAAATAAGACCCTGTCATATTTTTTGAACCCCAAAGTAAGCGCTTGGCCTTACTTTCGGGGAGGTCTTATTATTTTGGGGGGCGTGGAGCAAGACAGGGGTCCTCTTGCCATCTTACCTGATTTCCAGCTCTGTCTCCCTAACCCTAACCAGAGGAAATGGCGGTGACCAGCTGCGCATGCGGTTTAATATTTTCAGGGAGGGCTTATTTTCAGGGTGGGTCTTATTTTAGAGCATGCACTCAAAAGCCTGAGTGGGCTTATTATCTGGGGAGGTCTTATTTTCGGGGAAACAGGGTATTAATAATCATATTACAAATGTTATTCAGTTTTATTTAACCTTTCTTATTATAGGGCAAATAGTTTCTTTTCTACATGGAGACAGCACTCACATTTCAGATAAACTAATTAACAACAAAATATAGCAAGCCAGGCTACCTTGGCAGGAATTTACAACCAACAGGAACAGTAAATCTTCTAGACTCCTTTAACCTTTCAAGAAGTTTCCCTACAAAACTGGTTTCAGAGTTAACTAAATTTGCAGTTAGTTGTCAAATAATGCTTCACAGTTACATCTAAAAAAATGTAAGTGTTGTAAAGTTCTCCAGAAGGGTCAACTTACTATGTATAATTTTATACATAATGGCCAGAAGGCAAGACAAGAAACTAAACAAGGAGAGAAGCAACCTAGAACTAAGGAGAAATTTCCTAGCAGTGAGAACAATTAACCAGTGGAAGGGTTTGCCTTCAAACATAACTGGAGGCTTTTAAGAAGAGACTGGACAGCCATTTGACTGAAATGTTATAGGCTCTCCTGCTTGAGCAGGGGGTTGGACTAGAAGATCTCCAAAGTCCCTTCCAACCCTATTATTTGGTTATTCTGATTATTGATCCCACAAAGTGAGAAATTTGAAGCATGAACCAGTTTAAATCCTTTAAAGTACTAGATTTAAACTGGACAGTAAAGCCATAAAATACATCCCAGTAATATTAATAAGATATTAATATCATAACATCATGCATCAATACATGGAGCAATATTTATAGTTAAAAGAAATTCACAAGATTGGCACATAAAACGCTTAATCTTAGTTGCACTGGATTTATATTTTTTGTTTGTCATTTTCTGCAAAATGATAAAACAAATTATTCATGGAAATTACAGTACTGTTAACCAGAGCTAAGTACTGAACCAGAAGAACAAAATAGTAAGGAAATGTCCACCTTTTAGTGAACAAAGTAACTGTATATTGATCTCTTATATGCTATGAAAAATTAAAAGATATGCAGAGTCATTATATTGTCAACATCACTACTGCATGTTCACTGAATGCAAATACAGTGTGCCATTAGTCACAAAACTGCATATTCACCTGCCATCCAGTAATATTTAATTGTTCCTCTTAGAATACTGTAATTTATATCTTTTTATTTGTGTTTCCAGGGATGTGAACTTCAATTCCCAGACCTCTCAGCAACTGCCATGCAAGCTGGGGATTTCTGGGAGATGAAGTACGTTAGGAAGTTGCCAAGACAAGGAAGCACTATCTTATACATTTAAACAATAACTCACTTTTTCTGGTTCCACGGGATAGGATCTACATCACAATTGGCAAGAAGATGAGGGCAGTACCTCACCTCAACATAGATCACACCTTCATTTGCTTTCATTTCCACAAATTCATAAGCAATTTTTTGTATAGCTTCTCGGTCACCTCTGCAAATAAAAAAGCTTGTTTTATAAAGTCTTGGCTAATTCAGAGTCTGTAAAACATGGATCTGCAGAACTATAAGAGTACCAGGAAACAAAGATCTAAACTAGCAAAATACTGTTTACAACTCTAATGTGTCCCCAACCAAAATAACAACATAACCTCCTCCCCCTCCCCCAATATTCTGGCTTTTCAAAGAAGTTTGGTAGTATATAATAAAAATCATACAAAAAGATCAAGATTCTGATTCAGATCCAATCCCCAAAATGTGATTCAATAAGCTATATTTACAAAATTATGCAGGGAAAATATTTTCCTTATTTGAACATGAATTAAATAGATTCAGTTAATGGAAAAGTTCAGAATATTTAAATTTCCAGTTAGCTGAAACATAGAATCTTTCCAGTCCTTTTTGCATCCAAGTCCAATAAGTTTCCTCTAACATATGTACAGGTCACAAGTTACATGTGCTTAGAATCGAGAAAAAATAGTTTTAATTCTAGCTGTGCAAAAGAGCAACACACAAACGGATAATAAGAAATTATTGGCGATATTCCTTGCATCAATCCTGATCTGGAAACAGGACATTTTGTACTGCCAATGTTCTTTTAATAGCCATTAAAATCTGTTGCTTATGATTGCGTAAATTCTAAGAATGGCATCCAAAATCTATGAGACTGTTTCAAATCAGTACTTTGGGGAGAAAAATGAGCCAACAATGTCAATATTAAACCAAGCAATATATGGAATGCCAAGAGGTTTATGGGCCCCAAAGAAATAGGCCATTCATTCTTCCCATTTTTTAAATACTATGTGTTCTGACCCAGCTCCCCAAACATGACAAACCCTCTGAAGTTAACTCAAAGATTCCTTTATTAGGAGTGCCTGCAGCCCCGGCAAAAAGTTTCTCTCTCACCGCAGGCTAACAAGTCCGTCCATCCAGAAGATGAATAGTTGTCTGTCACATCTATTCATCTCCGCCCCCTGCCTTTTATCCCCAGAACTAGGGAGGGGCTTCACTAGCAGCGGTGGCTCTTCCTTCCCAAGGATCGGCACACGGATTCCCACTGCTCTCCTCTCCTCTGCCTTCTGCGCATCCGCGTGTCAGGCACTGGACCTAACTGTTCCTCCTCTTCCTCATCAGCCTCCTCCAGACCTGGGGGCTGTTGAGTTTCCATCTGAGGGCTGATGGACAGCCCAGGCTCCGCCTCTGTCTCTCTCTCTGCCAGCTCCACTTCCTCTTCCCACTCGGAGCTCTCAGGTTGCCTTGATGCTGGCCCTGACTCCCATGCCTCTTCCTCTGATTCGGCTGCTGGAGGGGCTGGCAGCCAACAGGCCACAACACTGTGCCTCATCTAAATTATTATTAGCATTAATACCCAGTGCTAGTGTTAGTCCAAAAATAACAAAATACATGACTTTGTGGTTTGTTTGTTTTTTGTATGAGATTCACAGTCTTGTGTTTCCTCTCTCATATCCTTTCTCCCCTCAATTTCTCATTTTAGGTCTGGATTCTCAAAAAGTCATAATTTGTCTATTGTAAACTAGTATTAAAACCTAGGTTTCAGAAATAGCTGCCCCATACAGATGAAACAGACTTTAATTGGCTGAAAATCATGATGCAAGTTGGAATCAGGGACAAATTAAACCCAAAAAACATTATCTGGTATTCTATCTAACTTGATTCAATGCAGACAAACTAGCTTTTATCAAAACGCGATTTCTCCTACCCATTAGACCTGCCGTTTCTTCATTTTGCTCTTAATTTGTGAATGAATATAACAAAGGCTGCCTAACTACCTGGGTTTTTTTTTTTCAACCCCTCCCCAAAAGATTGTCTTAAACTTTATAGCCTATGAATGCTAAACTCAACTATAAAAAATAATTACAAATTAAAAGAGCACCGATGGATTCAAATGCCATGGAAGCTTCAAATAGAAAATACAAACATACACAGTTTTGACTGAACTTATTCAATAAAAACTGCATATCCTCACAATTTCTTCTTCAACAGAAATGTATCCCTGAGTAAGCATGAGGAGCACTTTAAATGTTTGAAATGCTGTCTATCGGAAAAGATGTTTCTCTCAACTGATTGTGGATTTTAAACCCATCAACCCCAGTCAGCCTGATCAAAGATAAAGACCATGAAGATTAAAGTACAAATATCTGGACGATACCAGATTGCCTACTCCTGCTCTATATAAATGCAATGTATATTTTCCTGTTTGCTATCCATAATTTGTAATCATATCTTCTAGCAAGAATAAAACGTTGCAGTGTGCACTTTGGAGTCAATCTGTACTAATATACCTACTATATTTGGATTCTTAAGCCAAGAGCACGATTTGTTGAACATTCATTGTCCACATTGGAACCAACTAGATATATAGTGACAGCTGTGAACCTGTGACCTCAATTCTCCTTAAAACCAGAATCCCACCATCATTTAGTTCAAAGTTTAAAGACAAAAATATTCCTCTGCTTTTCTATAGCAATATAACACAGATAAAAATACCATGTAAGATAAAACTTTTCATGTGGTTAATTCCAGACTTGTGGAGAAAATAGGAGGAGGAAGGAGTATTAGTTATGTTCGCTGCCGAGTTGTTTATAAAAATAATAAAGATGTGATAAAACTAAAAGAAAATAAAATCACAAACATATTGTTATAGGAGGATATTTCTCTAGCAATACGAATTAGGACATTACATACATTAAAGCAAGAAAATGTGTAAGGAGCAGCATCCAATTTTAAGATTGCACTAATCTCAAGATCACAGCAAGTTGTGCTGACAGCTCATTGTGCTGATTTTAAGAAATCTCATGTGACAGCAGAAGTGCCCACATGGCTTCAAGAACTAGATAATTTTTACAGGCCCTTCAAAACTGTTCTGCTTACTTGGTAATTGATAAGCATAGAGGATTATCATTTACTAATGAGTCATGTACAATAGATTAATATTCTCTTAATTGGAACAATGGCATTGATCTTAAAGAAGCAAATTAGAGTGTGTGTGTGTGTGTGAGAGAGAGAGAGGGAGGGAGAGAGGGGGGGAGAAAATGCATAAATACATACATAACACACCCACAAGCTAATACAGGCAGGTAATAAAAAAGGATAACCATGTCGTAACAGATTGCTAACCTAGCAAAATGAATATCAGTTTTTAGATACTGAAAATCTTTTTTACAATAAGTATATTGGAACAAATTATTTCACTTACGCAATAGCTGGCATGTACAAATCAAACTTTTGAAGAAAAATAGTGAGAGATTCTGGTTTATCATAACTAATTTGTTTCAGAAGGCCGTCTACAGTATCTGCAGGAAGATATATTCCTCTTTTCCTAGGAATTTAAAAAAGTTTGTATATCAACTGTTGAAATTAATTTAGGATTAGTTTTGAACAGTCATTTCTTTTGTGAGTGTATATGCTGATAAAAAACCTGAATAGTCAAATAGTTTGGCTAACCATTATATAATACTTTTTAATGTATCCCCAGCTAACTTCTAACCTTAAAAATGAAACATCCAATAAAATAAGTATTTCCTTTCTTAGTATAACTTTGTTGATAAAATTATATCCATGCACATCAGCTGTTTCCTGAGTCTTAATACCAATTCTATTGTCCCATTTCCTCGTGCCATGAAACACTTTAATAAACAAAACTGTCTTACTATTAACTCACAAACAGGAATTTCTAAGCCTTACACAGCAGCATAAATTACCATTGGGGTAGTAACTTTTTAGTTACTGAAATTATATTATTATGCAACAGCTTCTACTGGGATATAAGCCCTGTTCTCACTGTTTTCCATTTTCTTAGCATTTTGCCAAAATTTTGTGATACAATCTGTTTTATTCATAAATGTCCTGTAGCTTTTAAACAATTTTTCCTGTTCACAAGTTTTAAAACAGTCAGATATAGTAGCGGGGTCAGATCCCAGGTTTTTGTATGCTATCCTTTCCAACTTTCAGATTTTTCCATTTATCTGAAAGGTAAAGGTAAAGGTTCCCCCACACATGTGTGCTAGTTGTTTCCGTCTCTAGGGGGTGGTGCTCATCTCCGTTTCTAAGCCAAAGAGCCAGCGCTGTCTGAAGAAGTCTCTATGGTCATGTGGCTGGCATGACTAAACGCCAAACACGCACGGAGCGCTGTTACCTTCCCACCAAAGTGGTCCCTATTTTTCTACTTGCATTTTTTACGTGCTTTCGAACTGCTAGGTTGGCAGAAGCTGGGATAAGTAATGGGAGCTCACTCTGTTATGTGGTGCTAGGGATTGAACTGCCAACCTTCTGATTGACAAGCTCATCGTCTTAGCCACTGAGCCACCGCGTCCCTTCATCTATCTTCCTGGGGATCAAATCTGAGAAAATGATACCCCGTTTCCCCCAAAATAAGACATCCCCTCATAATAAGCCCAATTGGGCTTTTGAGCACATGGCAATAAGGCCAAGCGTTTATTTCAGGGTTCAAAAAAATTTAAGACAGGGTCTTATTTTGGGGGAAACACGGTAGAAGAGATTATAGATATGATGGAAACCATGATGGTACAACTCTGCTGCCCACTTTTAAGCAGATTATACAGATGAGTAAATATAACTATGACTACACCATTAATTTACTTCCTGAAATAAAACCTGCTTGTTCTAGCTATATGGAATTTTACTTCTAAATTCATAAATCAACAACATTTACATAAGAAATGGGATCAAATGTCAAAATGTTTCCCTTTTTAAATTTAAACAGAATAATTGAGAAACAGTCTGCAAACAATATTGATTAATGATAAAGTACCAATGGCATGGTTGTTCTTTAAAAAAAGAAGATCCAGGGTTGTTAACTTACTTGCCAAAGTGTAGAATAGTTTCTGGCTTAATGGCTCCATCCAAGTGAACATGAAGTTCAACCTTGAAGAGATAAAAAGTTATATAAATCTACTGTAATTAGCCATCTAATTTTCACATCCAACTGCATTTTTACTCCTTTATAACAAATGTGTTCTCCCCCCCACTTCATCCAAATGCAAGCCCTTTTAAAATTTGATGAAAGGAGCCTTGGTGGCGCAGTGGCTAAAGTGCTGTTAAAGCCCTACTAAGCAGGTATATACAAAAGTATGAAGGCTATTGCCTAACGCACTGTAAGCCGCCCTGAGTCTCCGGAGAAGGGTGGCATATAAATCGAACCAATAAAATAAATAAATAAATAAAATTCAAATAACCTTGTGAAACAACACAGAAAATTTCAAGTTCAAAACAATAACAAAACCCTCTGACTTACTTACACATAAACTGCTTTGCTTCTGCTGAGGTGTTCTGAACAGAGGCTGATGACTATCCATGACTATTTGTTATATGGGAAAAATAATGTGTAACTGAAGATACAAAAGTACCTATATTCTGTGAAAGATCTTAGTATCCAATAAAAGGTAAAGGTTTTTCCTGTCCAACTCTAGTGGGGAGGTGCTCATCTCCATTTCCTAGCCAATGAAGTCAGTGTTGTCCAAAGACATTTCTGCAGTCATATGACCAGCATGACTACACGGCAAGGTGCACAGAACACTGTTAACTTCTCACCAAAGTGTTATCTATTTATTTACTCACATTTGTATGTTACGAATTGCTAGGTGGGCAGGAGCTGGGGCAAGTAATGGGAACTCACCCTGTTGTGCAGCGCTCGGGTCTCAAACCCAGGCCCTCAAGCATTCCAGCTGACAAGCTCAACTTCTTTGATCACTGAGCTATTGTGCCTCCATATTGCACCAATGTCATTATTTATTGCATTTTGAATGCCCCGAGGAACTCAAGATATGTGATCCAAGCTTCATTCATACAATAACTATGTGAAGTACCTGATCACTAAATCAAGACGATATATGTCCCCCAAATTGATCCAGTAATTGAAGAATTGACATACTATATTTTATTATGTCATCTTATACCAATATGAAGACAGCTTTAGTGACATACATTATTGACAAAACGTCTTTTTCCCTCTTTTCATTCCTTTCACTCTTGCACAGAGTATTTGCTGACTAGAGAAAATATTCTGATGAATATGTAAGTAACATCAAATCCAGATGAATTCTTGTTTTCCTATTATAAGTGGTCCTTAACTTACCGCTGTTCATTTAACAACAAGTCAAGGGCCTCAGAAAAATTAATTTACCCCCTGTCTTTCAAGTTATGACCATTGCAACAGCCTCACTCTACGTTATCACAATTTGGATGTTTGGCAAGTAGCTTGCATTTACAACTAGTTGCAGCAATATCAATTGGGGAAGCCAGTTTTGCTTAACAACTACACAATTTATTTAATAGTCATGATAAAAATAGTAGTAAAATCAGGACTGGTCACATGATGTTTTACGACTTATGATGGAAATACCAATCCCATTTCTGGTGGTAAAATGAGGACAAATTTATATTAATTTTCTATAAATAGCATCAAGAAACATGTACAAAGCAGCACTAGTAATGATAGAAATGATTTTTCATAACCGTGCAAAGGCATAATAAAATATACAGAATTCAGAATTCAGAATTATGAAGGAAGCTTCTGGGAAAAGATCTGTTTCAATCAGGGGTGAAATCCAGCAGGTTCTTGAGAACCAGTAGCAGAAATTTTGAGTAGTTTGGAGAACTGGTAGCAGAAATTTTGAGTAGTTCAGAGAACTGGCAAATACTACCTCTGACTGGCCCCAGAGTGGGTGGGAATGGGGATTTTGCCATGCCCACCAAGCCACACCCACAGAACCGGTAGTAAAAAATTGGATTTCACCATTGGTTTCAGATTAACATGTGCAAATTAGATTTTTGTTATGTCAAAAGAATAAAAAGAATTCCCCAAAATAAAAAGTATATATACCTAAAAAGAAAAACTATACAATGGTGTATTAATTGTGTGAGAGAAAAATGTAGCATGCATATGATACAAACAGTACTTTCGACATTTCTGGATTTCCTACAACAAATTATAAAAATATGGTTTTGCACGTATCGCATTTCATAGTAAATGAATGGACCTTTCTAAATATTAAGTGAATAGGAATTTAGGATCATGTTTCTTCTGATCACCAAATAAAAACTTGTGCTAGTTATTAGCTATTAGCAAATAGGCAGCACTGTAAGCAAATTCTTTAATTTACTAATGGAATTATCATTAGGCTTTCCAGCTAGCTTCTAACTTCTCAGTAATAATCATCAAATGACCTCATATGAATGAGATGTACTTTTGAGTTTGTTTTACTAAGTCACCCAGCTGGTTGGGACTACAACTCACACTTTCCTGGCTTCTAGGCCAGCACTTTAACCATTAGGCCACCATGGCTTTCTTACATGTTCATCAGACATACAGAAAGTTAATTTACATATAAAGCATAGATATCTTACATATAAACCATGTCTGTTATTTCATACATTGCCACAGTATTGAGGAAGCCAAGCCAAATCTATCAAGTTAAACAATACTAATTCTATACAACATTACTGTTCTGCTTGAAAGAGTTTAGTGGAGTAAGAAGCCCACAATCAGTCTATAATTGAATGCATATCCAGTTTCTAATGGAGCTTGCACAGTTCTACTGAATAAGTATTACATCCAGTCTTTTTATAACTAAAATCAAGAAAATTTCATCAATTAACTGGTATACTGACACAGTATGGTTTCTAATTAATTAAAGGAGAATGTAGAACAATATGATTCCACTAGCCTGGCCAGCAAATTATCATGGGTCTGCTTGAACATTTATTTTAGAGAGAACATTCAGTTCAATAATATATGAAGTTTTTGTATATTTTATTCTTCTAACAACAAAAAGGTGAGAAATATTGTACATTTTTGAATGCATGAATTGCCCCGTTATTTGATCTCTCTACTAATGAATGGGTAATTGCACATTTCAAAGTTAGGAAACTATTTAAATGAAATAAATATGACACCACTAGTTTCATTCATTGTTTACCAATGGAAGGAAAAGAAACAAAATTTCTGGCTATAGTTTTTTGTACATTTACTTGGGACTAAATTCCATAAAGTCCACTAGGGAATAGCTTTTAGCTATATATGTAAAATTTTGGGATTTTACCACTAGAGCAGGGGTCCCCAACCCCATTTGGAACTGGGCTGCGGAAGAGTGCGCGTGCAACTCCACTTGCACAAGTGGCTGGTGAGCAAGCGTGCAGTTCCATTTGTGCAAGCGGCAGGCGCATGTTCCCATCACTTATGCAAAGGAAGCTGCATGCATGCTCACTCATCACTCACGCGAGAGGAGCTGCACACCCACATGCCTCACCTGCTACTTCTGCGGCCCGATTCTTTCCCTTCCGGTCCAGAAAGCCAGAAAGGTTGGAGGCCACTGCACTAGGGAATGAAAACCCTTTCTGGAATGTTATTTAATGGTTGAACAAGAGTATATCTTGTCTAATATTCACTGTAATCATACCACAAGATTGGTAATTTATCTGATCTCACAATATCATTACCAGTCCTATAATGCTTCTTTACATAAAGCTGATGTACCAAACCTATGCACACATAAGCAAAAATGAACATCTCTCGTCCCAAATGTGCTAGAATTCATAGGTTGAGATTGATTTGTTCTTTTTAAATTAGAAATTAGATAGAACATTTTTACTACAGACTCAAGTCCTTAGTTCATTAAAAGAGGATGACTACGTCTCACAGCACACAAAAATAACATGATGAAGAGGCCAATAGTTTAGGTCGGTTTATTCACCAAGGGACTAATGTAACAGAGTGAGGAAAACTTGAATATATTTAATTATGCATGCATAAGATTTTAACTCAGTTTAGTTTCATACAGGAAAAAGATTTAGCTAACCATTTATTTTTCCTGAAAAGGCTTGGTTTCAAATTAAAAGGATATATGACATAAATTGGTGGCCCTCAACCTTTTGGGCACCAGGGACTGGTTCCATGGAGCAATTTTTCTGTGGATCAGAGGGGGTGTGGTTTTGCATGCTGTCTGCATCCCGCAGATGGGGCTTTGCTTGTTTGTGCGCCCGGTTGCTGGCATGCCACAGACTGCTGCCAGTCCACGGATCGGGGGTTGGGGACCTCTGACATAAACGGTATAAACATGAATCCAGAATTTCTTTGAACTGAGTTCTGGTAATGGGGTAATTTCAATGTTGCAATGGGAATTTCACATTCTCTTTTCAACATTATAATTGTTCAAAAATTACTGTTGGGATTTGGATATACTTTGAAACGATAAAGACGGTAGTCTGGGAACTGTAAGAAAAAAGAGGAATTGGAGGGGAAATTATTCAGGAGTTCCATTATACCACAATTCCTTCTACAGACAGAAGGAAACATTTGTTTGCAGAACATACACTCAGAACACACTTTAGAATTAATTGTCTTTTGAACTGATCAGCAACTGAAAATGTCTCTAATGTTTAAGATGGAATTGAAACAAAAAAACCCCGAAGTCTCTGCTTAGAAAAATATAAAGAATGAACAGAACTGCAGGGTAAATTAAGGGCAGAAGATAGAATATTGTGATTCCTCTTCTCCCACAGATCAGTTTATAATGCCCGTTTGCATTAAAATCACCAAAATAAAACTTTTACAAACTGTGCTGTGTACCACATATTTAGCATTCTAAGAAACTCAGTTTCCTAAGGGAAACAACTGCCCATCTTAAAACAAGTTTGAAAGTTCAGTATATGATTTTCATGATTCAATTGCTGGCAGTTAATGAATTTTTGTATGAACAAAAGGGGCCAAAGATTAATAATATGCTTAGATATTTTAGCTAAATACATGAAGCGATCAGATCATCTCTAAAACAAGGGTAGGGGAGGTAGGGTGTAAATGGGAGGTGTAATTGTGGACTGCATGCTTAGAGACAAGACTTCAATCTATAGTAGCATCTATCACTTTGGCCCTTTTGCCCCTCCCCAGTTAACTCTGCAGGGAATACCAATGTTTATAAATTTTGTCTATTTATAATTATCAAGAATTTTCTAGATGATATTACTAAGTCTGTATGAGGCAGTGCTTTTGTTGTTTCTAGGATACATCAGCAATTCCGAGTTGTTCTTTTTTAAAAATCTCCTTTGAGTCAAGCGCAGGGACAAGCCTCTGCAATTTCCTTGTTAACATTTTCAGAAGTGGTTTGCCATTGAGTTAGGGTTCCCTGGAGCTGAAAGAAAGGTTGATTTGCCCAAACTTGCCCAGCTGGCTTCTGTATCTAAGGCAGGATTAGAATTTGAGTTTCCCTGTTGCTAGTCCAACACTTTAAACACTAGAACTGGTTCTCTAGAATAGCCAATTCCATAACCTGGGTTAAAACAGATAAAATCAATATAACAGATCATGCATTTCACAAAGCATTAAATATCGAAAATAAAATCTATCTTCAACTTTATTACTCATTATGACAAAGCAGATTATATTAATAACCTCTTTCTGCCATAACATAAAATCCTATATCCCAGAATAATGTTCTCTCATTCAAAATTACATTAGATTTAAATAAGATCAGAGATAAAATTTATTTTATAAAACTGAGATGTTCTTGATTTTTATTAAATAATTCCATTCGTTTCACAAGAACCTGTTTGAAAATAATTAAGCAGATTCCAGCAAATGGTTTCAGCTTTATCAGTAATGCACTATATGGATTAGAACCATATATTTGGCGAAGACAAATATAATGTCATATAAGTAAAATAGACGTAAAAGAATAGAATAGAATAGAATAGAATAGAATAGAATAGAATAGAATAGAATAGAATTATTTATTGGCCAAGTGTGATTGGACATACAAGGAATTTGTCTTGGTGCATATGCTCTCAGTGTACATAAAAGAAAAGATACATCAACTATAAAAACTGCCAACTATTTCAGCCAACATGAAAGGACTATGAAGTATTTTATTGTTATAAGATTTGACTAGGAACTCAGTTCAAGTTATGGATTGACCTGCAAAATTGTCTTTGGCCCAATGTATCAGCCCATCTCACCCGGTCAGGCACAGAGGGTATGTTGTGGACTCCATCAGTTAAAGAATTTTGACTGGCGGGGTCCAGGAGGACAGCCTGCTTTGCCATTGCCCCCACCCTTTGGAATATTCTCCCCCTCTCAGAGATGAGGTAGGCCCCCACTGTCCTGGCTGTTCAGAAATGTCTGAAGATTTGGTTCTGCCAATTCATTTGGGGCTCAAAGAAGACCACGTAGCTGTGAGGTTTGTTAGCACCTTGAAGGCCTCCACTTCCTTTTTAACTTTGTTTTTATTATTCTATTTCAGTCTTAACTGCCCCCTGAGGGAATATATTTACGTTTTTTATGTTTTAATTGTACACTGCTGAGTCGCTCTGCAAGTGAGATAGGTGGTTTCCAAATTTGATAAATGAATAGAATAAAAGACTCAGAGCTGCCTTGAACTGTGAGATGGGTGGCAAATAAATATAAGAAAAAATGTTCAAATAATGCATATAAACATCTATCTTTGAAACAGCTATCCAGATAGTAGTTTAGGAGTACAGTATCAAAAGCTACTAAACTAGACTATTGTATGAGTATATAGAATTTACAGTGTGAAACGTAAATGCAAAAATTCTTACATACACCAGTTTTGTAATTGTCTAGTTAAACATTTAGGTATCAATGGCTAAAAAGAGTTCAGTTTTCTTCAAAAGTGAATACTTAACATTGTCATTTACTTGCGTTTTTCAGATAAGGCCTGCAGAGATGAAGTCAAACTTCATTCCAGGTAATTTCAACACCACAGTCATCTTGTCAACAATGCACAGTATCATTGTGGGATTTTCTTTTTAATCTCCCGGTCTAACATATAACCATATTTCCTAGGGGTACCTCATCCAAAATTGATCATAGCTTAGGAGCAAACGATTACCCACAATAATCTAGATGTTGCTACCTGGCTGGACAAAGGCTAGGGAATCACATGATAAAGATAATTCTTTAATTAAACAGGCAGAATTACTGATGAAACAAGAAACTGCAACAGAGCAAAATGATGGATAGCTGTGGGAAGTGACAGCAGAAAGACAATAGAGGCAATGAAGACAGGAAAGAGATGAAATGTCGAAGGGTGAAATATATAATGTAAGCAACTTGGGCTAATTAAGACAGGATGAGATAGCAATCTTAAGGCGTTGTTGTGAAAAGGATGGGAAACCACGAGTTAGGTTGGCGATAATCAAGTGTAATTTGGATTATCTGATTCAGACATTATTGGATGGAGCCAGCCAGTACAGGTAGTCCTTGACTTACAAATACAATTGAGCCTAAACTTTCTGTTGCTAAGTGAGACATTTGTTAAGCGAATTTTGCCCCATTTTACAACCTTTCTTGCCACAGCTGTTAAGTGAATCACTGCCGTTAAGTGGATCTGGCTACCCCATTGACTTTGCTTGTCAGAAGGCCGCAAAAAGTGATCACATGACCCCAGAACCGTCATAAATCGGAGTCAGTTCCCAAGCATCCGATTTTTGCTCATGTGACCAAGAGGATGCTGAAACGGTCATTAAGTATGAAAAACAGGTAACAGTAACAGAGTTGGAAGGGACCTTGGAGGTCATCTAGTCCAACTCCCTGCTCACGCAGGAGACCTATACTAAGAAGTCACTTTTTTCAGTGCCGTTGTACATGTTGAACAGTCACTAAATGGACTGTTGTAAGTTGAGGACTTACCTGTAAGAGTCCGTTCCATCCAGTCGCCCCTACTCTACCCTGAATAGGGACCACAGGGTCGTAAAAAGGGAGTGTTTTATCCAGTCGTTATGAGCCTTGAGCTGCAAAAAAGAGCCTTGGTGGCGCAGCAAACTAAAGTGCTGTTAAATAGCACCAGCTGCCTGCAATTACTGCAAGTTCAAATCTCAACAGGCTCAAGGTTGACTCAGCCTTCCATCCTTTCAAGGTAGGTAAAATGAGGACCCGGATTGTTGGGGCAATAAACTGACTTTGTATAAAAAAAAAGAATACCGCTTGGGGGGGCCAAAAGCCCTACTAAGCAGGTATATACAAAAGTATGAAGGCTATTGCTTAACGCATTGTAAGCCGCCCTGAGTCTCCGGAGAAGGGTGGCATATAAATCGAACCAATAAATAAATAAATACATAATTTTTTGGCAAAAGATGGGTCATCATTAAGTCGGTGGGAAGAGGCTGATCAGCAACGAGGGAAATACACGGGAGGGAGGCGCCCCTCGGAGATGGGGAGCGGGCTCAGGCAAGGGAAGCAAGGGTAACTGAAGCAGTTCTCCAATTACAAAGAAATAAACCCCCGGCACTCTGCGAATCACCGGAGGGCAGAAAGAGAAGTCCGCAGCTTCAAGGGAAGACTAGCTGGGGGTCTCTCACTGGTCGTTAGCGCCTCCAACTCCGCCGCCAAAGAAGGAGCAGCTCCTCGGCGTCCGGGAGAAGCGCCTAGCCAGACCTCACACCGGCTGCTCACTCACCTTGGGCTTATCGAAAACAGGCGGAGCGCGCTCCATGCTACCGCAGCCTTCGTTTGCTGGGTTAGTCAGGATTCCTGTGGCTGCACCGGCCCGTCCTGTCAGGCTTTTGCAGGGGTGGCTCCGCCCAGCGGTCGGTTTCGAGGCCGGTCCGCCCGCCCAGTGGCTCTCCCGGGGCTGGAAACGCGGCTGGGGTGAGAAAGTATTTGTTTTTATATATATATATTATATATATTCGATATTTTCGAGCGAAAAGCGACTCGGGGGGGGGGGGGCGTGTAACAAAATTCTAAGAACAATAAATTCTCCCCGCGCTTTTGCTTCCCCGCCAAACGCGGTTGTGCCAACCCCGGGCTCGGCCAGAGATTGATTAAAGTAGTTGTGCATGGGCAGGGGTGTGTTTTTTGGGTGGTGGGGGGAGGGCAGGAGGAGGAGCTTTAGACTGAATTCGAGTCAGGGATTTTAGAAAATCGGAAGAAAACAAAATAATGGTAAAGGCACAAGGGTTCCCCTGGTAAGCACGTGTTACTGTAGTTCCTAAAACTTTCCGGAGATCCTATTCAGCAATGCGGTGGATAATATTAGATTAGATTGTCATGGTTTCAAAATACTGAATGGTCTTGCGAATAAGTACCATTGGCATTCAGAGCAGAATTATGTAGTTTTAAAACTAGAATTTTTTTTAAAAAAACCCGACTTTTTGAAATTATGATGAATGTTTTGCCCGACCCAATTTATCCAACCTGATGTTCCCGTAAGAATTCGGTGTTTACATTCTTTTCCTGTTATGTTAAAAAAAAACAACTTACAAGATAGGCAAGTGTAAAGTACAGATGTTACTGAAAGCATTATACAAGTATGCTTATTGTTCCCATACCAGTTGAACAGGTTTAAATTAATCTTTGTACACAACTCAGAATAAGTGTTTGAATTATATACTATGCCGTGCATTTAGCAACACCGCTTGTACAAATAGCCAATAATGTGACATATTTTAACTCCACTATTTAATTGCTACAGGTATTTTACCAGATGGTGTCACTGGACTTTGACATACATTGTACATACAATAAAATGTACTTTAATTTGGTCAAAATTATGAATGGCCTTTAGAGGTTTTTAAATATTAAAATAAAACACTACAATTACTCATTCTCTGTGTTAGTAAGACTTCAAATAATAATGATTTTGCCATTGTCAGGGTTACATAATCTTTATGTTAATTATATAGCTGTATAAAAAGGCTTACTACTTTGTATTTCTGATTGTCACTGCTTATTTTATACTGTTACTTAAAATGTATTTTTAAGAATATCCTGCTATTTGACTGCTGAGTCATCCTAGGGCCTCTCCCCACCTGCAGTTAAATACAATCCTGGTAACTTCTGAAGTCATCCTTATTTATGTTGGACTAGCATTAAAGTAATATTTTCCCCCATTCAAAGGTAGTTTCAGCATGTACACAACCTGTTAGGGATTCCATGCATTACCTTGAAGAGAAGTCAGGAAATTGGCAGTAAAATTAAGATAGGGATTACAGCAGTAATAAGAAAGCAGATTACATGCCTATCAAATTGTATGCTGACTCAAGTGATTTGTAAATAGCCTTGTAAGTTTAAAAGGCATTACACCTTCCACTAGACCAGAAATGAAGTTGGAAGCTTAAGATGTTGCTTAACTATAGCTTCCAATACCCCAAATCATATGTCCAGTGGTAAAGGATGCTGGGAGTTGTAGTTCAAATTAGACGTAGAAAGCCATAGATTACCTATCCATATATCAGAGTTTTAGAAGAGACATTTCTAGTGATTTGCTTTATCATGCAGGCAAGCCAGATGTTGGTGTTCATCAGTCTGGGAGTTTCTATCTCTTCACTTCCAACATGGCTTACTATAGTTCAGACCTCAGTTCATAACAAAAAAAATCATATTCAGTTCCATATACGCTTTCATTCCCATTTTCTCTTTTCTTACTTTTATGCACATGTATTCATGCTAGCTATATTAATACATCAGTTAATGCAAAACACTCGTGTTTGTTACAATTTGTAATGAAGTGTGAAGTGACACTCCAAACCAGTACTTGAAATGGTTTAAAATGTTTTTTATTTATTTTGAACTTTTATTGTGGAAATTACAATTTATTTTCATTGGGTATTTGGATATTCTGAATTTAAATCTTTATTTTGTGATGTTAGCGTGGGAGAACTATTCTGGGGAAACTTGACTATGAAGGATAGTATGCAATTAAAAATAGATAGGATCATACATTGTGTGTTCAGGCGTTGGCCTAGCACAGTGTATTAACTGGTGTAAATCAGTTCTAATGTCTGGTCATAAGAATACTAGGATTTCCCTTGACCTCCCATTTTTATTAATATTTTTCTTTGCTTTATTTGCTGCTGCTTTCTAATTCTAGTGGGAACCTAAAACAAGAACTATTGCAAATTAATGATGGTATAAACATGTGCAGATAAGACTGAGGAAACCACACTGGAAAAGGAAGTATGTGGTATTTCTGCTTGCTTGATAAAACTAAATACCAAAATTAAAATAAGACTATTCCTGGAATTGGTTTTTAAAAACATGTTATTGGAGCTAAATTCAGAAGGTGATTAATGCTTTTCTAAGGAAGGGCAAAATACCATAGGTTTTAAAGAGGTGGTAATGTGACCTCCCTTGAAATGACCACCTCTCTATTCAGCTGTATTAGGCCACTTCTGCCCCAAGTGCTAATTATTACCTATAAACCCCCACCCACCCAATAGATTATAATCAGCAGTACAGTGCCAAGATTGATTATGTCACCTTGATTATGATTTTGTCACATCCGGTCAAACCAGGAAGGGTCGGCCCCCACCCTTCTGCCATTTTTGGGCAGTTCCAGGCGGCAGGGATCTGGGTCGGGGCACAGCCTGAGGAACAACCCTCTTCGGGACGGTCTGGGGAGGGGGAATCTGCCCGGCAGCTTCGGGGAACAAGGCGGGTGCCACGATTTGCAGCTGGTCACCCCTCTGGCTGCCCAGCAGGCAGCTTAGGGCAGGCAATGACTGCAATGACTTCACTCCCCTGCAATGTAAGAGCTGCCGCCTAAGCCCTCTGCACCCAGGAGCCGAGCGAGCCGAACAAGAGCTTCTAAAGAAAAACGCCCCCGTTGCACATTCCCAACAGGAAGAAAAGCACTTTCAGGCGGAAGCGCTGCAATCTCCTCCCCGAATCCAAAACGATTCCCAGTTCCCCGCTGCATATTGCAGGGGAACTGGCTGCCCGCCTCCTGAAACGCTGCTCTGATTATTGTGCTGGGGAATCCGGGCAGCAGTGGCTGGAGAGAAGGGGCGTTTTTCTTTAGGATCTCTCGTTCGGCTCGCTCGGCTCCTGGGTGCAGAGGGCTTAGACAGAAGCTCCTACATTGCAGGGGAGTGAAGTCATTGCAGCCATTGCCTGCCCTAAGCTGCCTGCTGGGCAGCCAGAGGGGTGACCAGCCGCAAATCGTGGCACCCGCCTTGTTCCCCGAAGCTGCCAGGCAGATTCCCCCCAGACCGTTCCAAAATGCTGGTAGGCAGAGGTAGAATTCTTGTTTTCTTGATTTCCTCCCCCAAAATTAAGGTGCGTCTTATACTCCAGTGCGTCTTATACACCGAAAAATAAGGTATCTGTTTGAAAGATATAGACATTATGTGAATACACAAAGAATGCTGTAGGCGTGAATTGAGACCTGTCTCTAAGTACAACTCATTAGATAGTCACTATTCTCATTCATTCTTGGCTCTCACAATGGGTCAATCATTCTTCCTCTCATCCACTAAATTGTTTTCATTCGGAAAACTTGCACAACATAATAATAATAATAATAATAATAATAATAATAATAATAATAATAATAATAATAATAATAATAATAATAATAATTTTATTTCTATACCGCCCTTCTCCCGAAGGACTCAGGGTGGTGTACAGCCTACTTAAAAACACAAGACAAAACATCGATTAAAAATTTAAAATAATTAAATAAATTTGGTTCAATTTAAAACCCCACAAATTTAAAAACCCCAATTTAAAATTATTATTATTAACTTAACAAAATTCATTTCTGTTTAACTGTGAAGTTTACATAGAAAGGTCACATAGGAAACACTCGTTTCTTAAGAAACTAGTAACTAAAAAAATAAAGGAAATAGTAAGAGAAAGTGGGTGCAGTGGTTACTTACTGTACTGTGTGTACTGGCTGAAAACAGTATGACCATGAATTCTAGCCTGGTGAGATGATTGTGAGCCAGTCAAGCTCCTTTGGCTCTGGGACAAGGGTCTCCAAACTTGGCAACTTTAAGACTTGTGGACTTCAACTTCCAGAATTCCTCAGCCAGCCATACTGGATTTCAACTCCAATTCTGGGAATTGAAGTCCACAAGTCTTAAAGTTGCCAAGTTTGGAGACCGCTATTCTAGGAAGAAGACAAACTGTTTCCAGAAAACTGCATAGATTTGTCCAAGTACTATCAAGATTGACTGAAAGGCACTAAATAAATAAACATTACTGAATAAACATTTTTTTTTTGTAAATATAAATGTCAAACAATAGATGACAGCAACATTTAAAAGTACTTTCCTAAGACTTAAACATAAACAGGCATTGTACAGCTATAGGATGCCAACTTGGAAGCATTTTACAAATAGTCCTCTTTTAGCAACCACAATTGGGACCAACTCAGTTGTTAAGTGAAGTGTTCACTAAGTGAAACCACAACAGTGCTAAGGATCTTACTTCCTTTCCTTTGCTTTAAAGATTCGTGAAAGTCATAAATGTGAGGATTGGTTGCAACGTTACTTTTCATCACTGTCATAACTCTGACCAGTCACTAAATGAGGCAATCACTAAATGAGGACTACCTGTAGTATGTTGTTCACAGTCTCCTTGCAAATCTAAGAACAAATATAACCAATTTGAATGGTGACTCCAACACAATCAAGTCAGTGCAGAAGAACTGTATTTTAAATATAGTGGCTGAATGATTTAAACATGCTGGCTGGGGAAATCTGGAAATTGAAGTCAATACAACTTAAAGTTGCTAAGTTT